CACATCCCCGCAGGCAGAGCCTACGGCTCATAACCTGCACGAGGACTTGGTCTCGATATGTTGCTCTTCACCTGAAGTTTGATGATATACTTTGTGATGTTAACCCAAGGTCCAGTGCGATACTTCACATATGTGTATCCCACGGCCCAATCTGCCCTTGCAGGCACGTTGCAAGCGATCACACTGGTTCCTTGCAAAAGGTGCGTCGCCGTTGCGGTTTGTGCGCGTGAACGCGAGAGCTTGACGTTCCAGGGCCAGGCCGAGTAAGAGCTACGGACAGACAGACACTGTGCTGGCCAGTACAGCCTACCTACGCTCGTGTTCTTGAGCCACATGCGTTGCGGTTATGGGGGGCTTCTAGGACACGATGTGTCATGCAGTGATCACATATGCCAGCATACAGTGTCGTCGCGGCGGCCCGTAAAGCGTAGGATTCATAGCCGAACCGACAGTGCTTCGATGTCCGTTCACAAGTAGCACTAGTAGTAGCAGTAGCAATAGCAGTGGCAGCAGCAGGGGCAGGGCCAGTGCCAGTGGCAGGAGCAGGAGCTGCAGCGGCGGTGGCAGTGCAGCAGCAGCAGCAGCAGCAGCAGCAGGAGTAGGAGTAGGCGTAGCAGGAGAGTATTAGTAGTAGTAGTAGTAGTAGTAGTAGTAGTAGTAGTAGTAGTAGTAGTAGTAGTAGTAGTAGTAGTAGTAGTAGTAGTAGCAATAGTAGTAGCAATAGTAGCAGCAATAGTAGTAGCAATAGCAGTAGCAGTAGTAGTAGTAGTAGTAGTAGTAGTAGTAGTAGTAGTAGTAGTAGTAGTCGTAGTGGTAGTGGTAGTGGTAGTGGTTTCCCCACCCCAGTGCCTAATCGCTGCTGCGAGCGCGGCACGCCGGGACTTTGAACCATGGCGGCGACACCAACGACACCGAAGCCTTGTCTGGTGCTCAGCGACAGCACATTGCAACACCTGCTTTGGAAAGGGGCCAATGGCCAATCGTATGGGATCATCGATGTGAACCAGGGTGCCCTGCACGGCTATGTCATTTCCTGCCCGGGAGCCACCCTGACGGCGGAGTATGCGGCCAACCGGCCACCGAACCCGGCAGTGCTCGAGGTGTTGGCATGGCAGTTCATTCGGGTACTGGGAGAGACACGCCCATACCCTGCGGAGAGCCAAGCCTTGATCAATTTTCTTCGCGATCACTACTATGATGAAGTCAGCGTCCGCATGATCCCCCTGCGCCAAAGCTTGCTGCCACACAAGCAAGCCAACTATGATTGGATAGCAGCCATCCGCGACCAATATGCAGGTATGAGCTCAGCTCGGAGACCATCATGAGTCTCCAGGGCCCGCACCCCCTGGTCGACCAGATCTGCAACCAGAACAACTGCCACTTCCGACCGCAGGTGGCGGACCAGGTCATCGGCCTGCTCCTGTCCCGTTCCGTCCGAACAATGCGGCGCTTGAAGCCCAAGGCGATCCACATCCTGATCGTATGTTCATGGAACTGCACGGGGGACAATGTCCATAAGGAAATGAATGCTACAGCTGACTTGTGCAGCTCGGAGACACTGTCTGAGATTGGAGCGGCGGCGGCACGCCACACGGGAAAAGCCTGGGTCTTCCGACCCTTCCTTGAGCCGAATGCTGGCCGCCGACCAATGCCCCGCACCATGTTTCAGACTTACATGCACGACGACCACCCTGGTCCCAAGAGCATGTGCCGAGAGTTCTTGCCTGACTTCGAGCGCACCTTCTGCAACACTGCAACGACGAGGTCCTGCTTGAGACCCTTCGCCTCCATGCTGGTGACAGTGGCGAAAACTTGATCAGAAGTTTGAGGCAACCTGCTCACAAGGCTGATGTTTCAGGTACGTCTATATACCATTACCAGTACGGTGGCTTGTACCTGGACATCAAGATGGCGCTGCGCATGCCTTTCGATGAAATTCTGGGGCATCTAGCCTCGGAATGGGACAATGTCCAAGTCAGAAGGAGCAAGGAGCTGGGGCACTGCCCAAATGGAGAGGACGGGGTTTTGCCCCAGGAGTACCTGATCATGGGAATTGGGGTCAAGAACGACCACATTTTTCAGGGCATCATCTATGGCCAACCGCGCCACCCGCTGCTCCTCTGCGCGATCAACCACGCCTTCGGCAAGAACATTCTCACGTCGGTCGCCAATCTCGACTACATGATCTTCTGCAAGGAGCTCTGGAAGCTGCTCACGGCGGACATGGGCCACACCCCTTTGTGCCGGGATGGAACCAAACTCGCCAGTTTGGCCCGGTGTATTTGCTCCGCGAGCGCCACTCTACACAACTCACGAGATCCAAGGAGCTCCAGAACGATGGACACTTCTTCGAGACGAGCAAGTGTGTCCGGGTTGCCTTCACCCGCTGCTGGAGCTGGCGCAAGGGCTTCAAAGGAGATCCGCGGGCAGCTCAGAGAAACGAAAACTCTCTGATGCAAAGCGTGCCCCAGATCATTTCGGAAGTCATCGAAGCCGGTGCCGATGCCTCAGCTGCGCCATTTCCAGCACAAGCGGGAGCAATGCTCAATGCAGGAGTCCGAGTCGTCGGAGAAACCGTGCTCAGCAGCCTGGATCGCGGCGACTTTGACATGATCATGGCTGCAGCGGAGGGTTCTCCGCAACATCCCCCGAGGACTATGTCTCCACCCTGACGACCCTGACTGGCTCTCCTGCAGGTATTGCGACCGCCAGGCCGCTGAAGTTTCCAAATGAGCTTGGGGTGACTCACGCGCCAGGCCGAGCCGGCCATTTTTTTTCGGCGGCGTTCCCTGCCACCCCCTGCACCGACGGCGGAACGGCCCCCCAATGGGTCCCCACTGCGTCGGTTTCGAAAGCCAGATTTGGCCTTGGCCTCCCCCCCCTACCGACCGGCCTCGACACACCAACGCAGGGCCACCAGCCATTTGGCATCACTGAGGTGGAAGGGGTCAATGACCAGGAGATCAGCGTGCCAGAGGAGCAACCAGCCACCGGCCCCATCGGGGCAGACGTCGCATCCCTCGCCGTCCGCCGGCTCCAGCCAAACCCGCGATGCACCTTTCAAAGCATTCTCCGGCTCAACTGCGACCCACGCCGCTCCCCCCCCAGCAGGCAGTGCAAAGTCGACAGCAGCCCTCACGACCAAAGCTCCGGTGCCAGAGCAGATCCCGCAAACACCAGCTCCAGGCGCGACTACAGCAGCCCGCCTTGTGGACGTCCCATCCACACGCGCTGAGGTCAAATACTAAGGCGCGGTCACCACAACCAAGCTGGTGGAGTACAGCACCAATCCTTCCCCAGAGCAGGAAGCGAGTCAAATGCCCAAAAGGGATCAGATAGTGCACATATGCCAATCGGACCAAATGTTGGAGTGGGTCCATGCTTTTGCAACTATCTCCATTATGAAGGAGCAGGCCATTGTGGGCGGCCTCACTGCCTCGGAGCAGGTCCTCCTATGGACCAATAATCGCTTCAGAGCGCTTGGGCGAGTGCCATGGATCTTCGCCCCGATCTTGAAAGTCGCTACTGACAAGGATGCCAACTGGTTGGACATCACGCAGGCGCGGCTTATGGTCGGGGCCAATGGCCAATTCACCCTCTCCATCGGACAGGACAGCCGCTACACCGAGCTCAAGTCCACCACGGCGTACTATGGCATCGTGCACGCCCTCTTCCAGAAGATGTGGGACCATGCCGACATGAACGCGGTGCTCGAGACGGACGAGAACTTCGAGATCGTTGCCTCCACCTTCAAGTGCATCTACGACCAGACTTCAAGAAAGAGCGGTGGGCAAAATCGCGCCATCTTCTACCAGCCCCGCGATGGTCAGATTGTTCGCAAGCTCAGGATTGAGCACAACAAAGGCGACACTGCAACCTACCAATGGCATCGACAGACAAGCGCTCGGGAGAGGAGACACAGTCTCGTACTGACAAGCGCCACCGAGATGGCGATGCCTGGTCGAGGAGTGGTTGGTGGAACCGCGGCTCCGACTCTGGTGCTAGTGGCAGCCGCTCCTGGCATCAATGAATCCAAGCTTCGACGGCGGGTGCCAATGGCAATGTGCATACCTAGCAGCGGGGGCAATGCCTGTTTTCGTCTGACCGGACACGAGCCTCTTCCTCGAAACACTGATGGCTTTTCTGCCTGCAGCCGTCGCTGTCAGTTGCAAAAACAGGTCAGAGTCCGCCCTAGTTTGCACGCTGCGCCTCTCCGAGCAAGCATGCCTCATGCAGTTCAGTTCTAGACAACTTGTAGGTACACCTTCATGGAATGGAGCTCTACAACTTGCTGCCTGCGAAACACTCTAGCTGCCCACTGCCAGTCAGCAGGAAGCCAAGTAGGCTGCGACCTCTCACAAAGGTCTCTCTTTTTTCGACCTGGGCTAATCAGTCTCAAGGGTCTGAGTCAGTTTCACACCAACGTGAATGCACCGCGGCAATCGCCCGCTATGTGCGGAGCCCGCTCGCACAGCGTTCAATTGAATTGAAATAGTGGTAGTAGTAGTGGTAGTAGTAGTAGTAGTAACAGTGGTGGTAGTAGTAGCAGTTTTTTGTGGGTGGTAGTAGTAGTAGTGGTAGTAGTAGTAGTAGTAGTAGTAGTAGTAGTAGTAGTAGTCGTCCTAGTAGTAGTAGTAGTAGTAGTAGTAGTAGTAGTAGTAGTAGTAGTAGTAGTAGTAGTAGTAGTAGTAGTAGTAGTAGTAGTGGTAGTAGTAGTTGTAGTTGTAGTTGTAGTAGCAGTAGCAGTAGCAGTAGCAGTAGCAGTAGCAGTAGCAGTAGCAGCAGTAGTAGTAGTAGTAGTAGTAGAAGTAGTAGTAGTAGTAGTAGTAGTAGTAGTAGTAGTAGTAGTAGTAGTAATTAGTAGTAGTAGTAGTAGTAGTAGTAGTAGTAGTAGTAGTAGTAGTAGTTGTAGTAGTAGTAGCAGCAGCAGCAACAGAAACAATGGCACTATAGTCAGCAGTAATAGTCGCAGTCGTTGTGTAGATGCGGCTGTAACCATGTTACGGCAATAATACAATATCAGCATACTCAATGAAAGAATATAACCGGCCCTCAACCCTAAACCTGACACAGACTTGCTCTCTGCCCGGGCTCAAGTCTGCTTTCAGCGCCAGGATCAAGGATCGAATCGCGTCGTCCCTCTGTTCCCGCAGACCTCAGGGCGTCAGTTTGGAGCATACGACTCTGGCCTTTGGGTTGCAGGCTAGGTTTTGAGGGCTTTAGAACTTGACTCTTCGGAGCCACGAAAGATATAACTTATCTCGTTGCAAAAGGCAGCTAAAGCTGCAGTGTACTACTAGTGGGGAGCCTAATCAGCACCTGCAAGGCCGCCTGATTCGTGTCTTGGAGGGTGCAGGGTTTCGGGCTTTTAAGGCATGGAGCTTTAACAGTCTGTGCTTCTTGAGTCTATGGCTGGTGATGCCACCTCGAACCACCTCAACAGTACTCTTCAGCGTTCCTTATTCTACTTCTATCATATACCACCTCCAACCACTCGAAGTAGCGCAGAAAAGACATCAACCCCCGTCCCGCTGTCGATCTGCACGAGGAAAGGCCTTGGCCCAAAGCCAAGTCGACCTCCACAAACAAGCGATCGATGTATTCCTCAGTCTGGGGCGACACGAGGCAGAGTTTCGGGAGTTTCTCTGCTGGAGAACAAGAACTCGAAGCCCGGGGGTTATGAGGGCATTCGCTTTGGTGTGTTGGTTCGACTTTCGACCCTTGACAGCTTCATGCTCTGCTTGGGGCTTCGAGGGGGGTGGAGAGGTGTCCTTCAGCAGGACAAGCTGCTGGGCTGGGGGGTGAGCCCTCCGGGCTCTCGCCGTAGTCCACCCAGATGATAACGTCGATGTCGGAAAGTCGTTCTGCTTGCCTTTCGGGTTCGGAGCTATTGGCTATTTGTGGGCCTGGATTCAATGTTTCGGGTCGCTACGACCTTCACAAACCGGAGAACCCCTGAGTGCCAAAACCTCCGCCAGGGCCTTGAACTTGAGTCTGCACAAAGCTAGGTAGCACTGTTGACTCCACGTGCCACAGAACCTGACATCGTTCTGCCTAATATCAAACTTCAACGTGAAGGAAACAAGAAGGTCTCTTGCATGTGGTGGTATTCTGTGCTCCCCATTTGTGCTTCCACAGAAAACGGAGATGCTGCCCCGCCACTGCGGTCCGACAAAGACTTCTGGCTCATCCTACCATGTAAGCGTTGAACTTCCATTGCTTTCTGTTGGAAACCGTGCCAAAAGCTCGTAGGCCTTTGCTGCCGCTGGCCCGAATCCATCCTCCGCAGGATGTGAATGTAGGGTTTCGGCGCTTGCACTCGGACTCGGTTGGCTTTGGAGAGAGTGAAATTAAGCCTCGGCCTCAGCCTTGCACCCCAAGCACAGAATTAACAGAATGAGTCCGCATTCTTGCTCAGCAAACCCAGGTCACCGCCCAGCTTGAAACTCCATTCGCAAGACACAGGCCAATCACACCCGTAACCAAAGAACCAATCAACCGATCAACGAGTTGCCGCCGTCAAGGGCTGCTTATCGCTGTACTACTTCCAGTCGTTATAAATAACTTTCAGGTGCTGTGGACTAGACAGGGCAAGGTGTGGGCATCTCAAACGAGTGGAGTGTACAGGTTGAACCAAATCATCATACCGTCGTGCCAGGTGGATACCTCGCGGTGAATCATCGGACCGCCGCTAGGCCACTAAACCATCCGACGTTCATGAAGCCGAAGCACGGCTAGTCCGATACCCCAACCAAAACTCCCGACGTCTTACTTCCCACTGCTCATGGTGTCTGCCCTGAGTACCCTGCTTTTCAGAACAGCAAAAGCATCTGACTGCAGAGGTTATAAGGCTTCAGCACGCACACCACTCAAGGCATCGTCTGTACCGCACAAGTCGAACCGCAAGCTCAAGTTTTACAAGCCCTGCTGCAGAAAGGGACGCGCGAGACATCTGGTGGCAGCTCTCTGCAAATACGTCTCAGGGTGATAGCGGATCTCTCACATTTCAAAACATAAAGCCGTAGGTGCCGGGACCTTACACCCTTCAACCCCAATACCTTAGCCGAAATCCTCTCTCTCTCTCTCTCTCTCTCTCTCTCTCTCTCTCTCTCTCTCTAAACTTTGGTCAAAAGTCAACAAAACCTGAAACAACACTATCTTACGAACTCCGAAAACTTGAACCGAAGCAGCCTGAAATCCTGGCAACATTGTTGAAGCACCGTCGAGCCCCTTCAGCCTGCAAAACTCCAAATACTTTGGCTCGAAGTCACACAACCAGCTTCCAGGCAGAAGTGGCGAGCTCTCTCGAAGGCTGCTGGCCTGGACTTTAGGGTCTGGTGTGAACCGCTTCAGAACTCACAACTTACGGCTCTGCTGCTAAGCTCGCCAGTCATAGAACGATCGAACACTTAGGTTCATAGGCCTCTCTTCCTCCTGAACTTTAGGAACCCCGTGCACCTGTACGATGAGATTGCAAAGTGGCAGCGCTGACAAGTCATGCTTACAGAAACTTTAAACATTGGGGCTTTATACTCACTCACTGTACTTATACTCGAGACTACCAGGGCGTATTATACCAGTTCTTCAGACCCACTTTAGTGACTTTCGTGGTTCCGGAGAGGCCGGCCGTCAGAGAGACGCAGTCGAGCAGGACCACCGGCGCGAGTTTCCGTGTCCTTTCGCTGTGAATGGGCAATTCATGCCTCAAACTCTGCATCCAACTAAGCATCAGCTTTTGTTTCAATCTTTGCAACGCTACCCAGGCAACCCGTGACAGTGCCTGCTGCTGAGGTTCCAGGGACGGAGAGCACTCTACCCTAGGAGAACATGGGACTGGATTTTAAGGCATTCATCGTCACTAGCAGTGGCACTCGACGACTTGCAGGGCAGGTGGCGCGGATGGGCAAAGGTTGGCGGGCGACCAGCGAATGCTCGATAACTTCCTCGGCATCCAAACACTATTTCAAATTTACTTCATGCTACACTTGGAATTCTTGCCCACCTGCGGAAGCTACGTAGAATAGAAATCCAAAGTACCCAGCAAGCCGCGGCCTTTGCCAACTGGAACCATAGAGCCCCGAATCTGGGAAGCACTACACCTGTCCACTCCAACGGCTTCTAGCGAGATCTTCTTCTGTCAGTGAGGAGCAGGCGCACATCTACGAGCAATGCAACAAAAGGCTCCTCAACGCTTTGATTTTAGCCTGTAGTGCACATGAACACGCATGAATCTTCTAGCATCTCTGAAAGAGTACTATGAATCTATGAATGCAATGGGGGCGTATTGCTAGCTCGTGGCCGCAAGGGGCCGCGATGAGGATCATCACTAGGAAGACTGCAACTAGTGACCATGGATGCCAGTGGCACCTTTACTCTTGTATACTTCACTACCTACACCCATCATGCCTGCTGTGTGGGAAGCTCGCATACCCCCGTTCCCGTTGCTATTGCTGTAGTCCTCGATTGATCGTGCACCTTGCTTGCGAATCTGCGCGACGAAAGGCAGAAGTCGAGCTGCTGGCTAAGAAGAGTATGAGACTGGCCGCCTTGCAAGAACCCAAGTTTTGAAACGGCCGTCCTTGGATAGAGGGTATATGCGTTAGGGTCTCAGGGTTTAGGCTACCCTCCGACCTGTCCTAGGGCTGTCGTGTGGCCGTCAGCCCCCATTCCACTGGTTGACGGTCAGCAAAGACCTCCGGGAAAGCTGAAGATAATCACGATGCTTCCAAAGGCTTTACACTTTGCTGGAGTATTTGGGGTTGAAGACCGTTGAACTTAGGGTGTCCACTGTCGGTGACTCTGTTGAGCACTTTGGCTAGCTCCCTTATGTTAGAATGCCGCACAGAGCAAGCTCAGTAAAGAGCGGTGGCATGCTGTTTTGTGGCTTTCTTGAAGCAGGGTTTGGGGCCCATTGAGCAATCCACAGCTCCTTTCAGACTTTCAGACCCAAAAGCCCGTTACTAGAGGGGCCTTGATAAGTAAAATAGGGTTTTGGTGCCCTCGCTACTATAACTCACTATAATAAGCAACCCCCAAAGTAGTATTGGCAATTTTTTCGGCCCCTGTAGTAATGTAAAGCCTCGGTCGAAAGAGCGATGCCTCAAAAGCCGGGATCGCCAGGGCGATGCTCACGAGTGAGGCTATGTGCCGGCGATGGCTCTCCCTCGCAGCTCAAGGGAATCTCAGGTTTAGGGCTTTAAGGTAAAAGCCAGAAAGTTGGAATATGATTATCCTAAACCCTTTATGGTAAATTATAAGGTATCCTACCCTGAAACCATATTCCAACTTTCTCGAGTTCCCTTTAAGGGTCTATGCAACCAGTCACTGGGGACGCTCCGCTCGGATGCATGAGCTTTTACCAGTAGCCTCCGGGCACGCAAAAGCAGGGTAATTCTGGGCCCTATATGAATCCTCGGTCCTAGGCCCTTGGCCCTGTAGGTAGGGTGTTGCATTAGGCCACGTTCCGTTCAAAACAGTTACAAAAGAAGCAGAGGTCCATGGGTTCTTCAAGAATTCACATCATGTGGCCTTCCTTGGGGTCCGGCCCACGGAGGGTTGGGGCCTGGCGGGTTTCGAAAGGTACTCTGATCAGCTTGTTGCATCCACTGTGGGACCTACGGAGGAAAGCTGAAGGGATCGGTCTCGGCCTTGTCAGCAAGCAGCTGTCTGCATCCAAGGGGTTTGGAAGCTTCTTCGGCATGCGCTGGATGGCCTGCGACCCCAGCAAAACGGCAAGTTCGGACATGCATAGAATTGAAGATGCTGCAGCTACCGCTTGCAAACTCCCTTGCAAAGTGCAGTAGGGCTACAAGATCGCGAACTCAGCAAGAGGCCTCATGCAGGACGTCATCCACGCTGCCCTGCGACTTGCCTGAGCACCGGCGCACGAGGTCCTACAACCGAAATGCTGGCTTGGACGGAGCATTCGACTCGGCCATCTGCGCGTATTCTCACATGGGCCGCTCGACAAGCCGGTTGCCTTTCTCGTTTTGATAGCGTTTCAACTGTTGCTGCCGCCGTTGTGCCATCTTGAGTTTCGGAGTCGAAGCGTCATGGCTGGAGCACTCGTCTGTGTAACAACTTCAAGCCGTCCTCAGCCTCCATCTTCGATTTGAGATCCTTACAGAATTCATCTGCCACAGGTAATTGCCGGCTGTTGGGCCTGAGATTTTCGGCGGTTCTGCCGGCACAACGGCTTTCTGAACGGCACGACGTTGCTGTTACCAAGAAGAAAATGCAAGACACACACACACACACACACACACACACACACACACGCATACAATAGAGGGGCGTGAATAATTCGAACAGGGTTTGGGGGCCTGCTATGCTATAACTTTCAAAAGGAACCCCCAATTTTGCATTGTTAGTTATTATTTCGGCCCCTATAGCACACACACACACACACCAAGTGCAGGGCAGAAGAGTCCCAGAAGCACCAAGCGGCTTTATGCATCTCAGTTGCGCAGCTTTGCGGCTTGTGCAGCGCGCTCCATCGCCGCGTCATGCGCCTCCGGGCGTTGTGCTCAAGCGTCGGTTAAGTTTCGAGGCTTGCGCGCAAGGCACTCATCATGTCAAACTACGGCACCAACTATAGCAACCCAACAACAAACGCAAAACAAAACGAAAGATATCACCAATGCTAGCAAATTGTCCACGATGGGCATAAATTAATTCTCTGGGCCGCTTGACGGCCTCTCCGCCGACGCTAACTACCGCTGCTGCTCGAAGCCGGATTTCTCGACGGGTCCCCGTGGCCTCGGAGGCGGCTTGAGATTTCCGTGGGGTTTCGCACGCTCCTTGTGGTTTCCGGTTCCAATTCCTATTCAATCTGTTACGATTTCGATTGTTACCGATTACCAGTACCATTACTATATACTACCATTCAGTTCTCATTCCTGTCACCAGGACTTTTTGGGGAGGGTGCCCCGGGGGGAAACAGTATCCAGGCAACTTTGATGAGCTCGGGAGCTCATGCGAATTAGTCGACCGCGGGCAACAATTCGCAGCAGTGATAGCCTACCACATAGAACCCACAGAGTCAAAGCACCCAAATAGAAGGGTTTTAGGGCCCCAATTGCATACTCTGAATGCACTACTTGGGCGCTTGGACGCTTAAGAGGGGAACCTAGTTAGCTGAAGGCGGCTCAGCGACCAGATTGCGTTGGCACAAACGTTTGAAATCAATCTCGTATTGCCGGCCACCACTTTTCACCTCAGGGCATCTTAGGCTCTAGCGCCTGAGGTTCGAGGCTTTCGGCTCGCAGGGAAGGCTTCACACCTCAGCTTGCCTGTCACGGTTCGATGGGAGGAAGTTTATCCTAACTCCGACGGCCAACGTGCTGAACCTGAGAGTTGGACCAACCCTGTGTGGGAATGGCTGACGCCCTGCGCGGCAAAACAGAAGGCCTTGACTAAAAAAACTCAAAGATCCGCCTGAGTGTGAGGTAGTCCTGCCAGCTGCGCTGCTCGCAGAATCTCCTGGAAAAGGGCAGGCAACAAGTACATGCAGACATCAAATTCACATGCTCCTGACTCTTGACCTTCGCATCAAGCAACATTCATCCTAAGCCGCCGAAGCCCGGCGTTCAAGGAGGGCTAGTTGAGGAACTCGGCAATGCATGCGCATGCCACCGGCATCGGATTTCGAAGGTAGGTCCCTCGGAGCTGCCGAAGCCAGGCATGTGCTAAACGTGCACACTCGAACAGCTACAATCCTGAGCTTCTGTAAACATCAAAACACCCAAGCCCCTAAACCCCAAAGCCCAAAGAATCGAAGGCCTTGTAGTGTTCCCCCCTGCGTCCTACATCCCTAAAGCCCTAAAGTCCCCAATCTCGCCTGCGCCGAATCCTCAAAGGGCTGCCAGTTGCCATCCTCTGCCTGAGCGGTCTACGATGCCTTAATAGTTTAGGCTTCGCTTCTATTATATATGTTCATACTGACATTACTATCCACAATAGTACTAGTATTCGTATTATAAGGCTTTCGGTTTTTTCCCTCTCGCATGTGCTTGGGAGTCTATGCCCGCTCGCGAGGTCTGACTTTGTAGATACTCTTCGGTTCGGCCACAAAGCTTTCGGGTTTAAGAGTAAGGGTTTGCAGGGTTCAGGGTTTTGGGGTTCGGGTTTTGGCTTTAGTATCGCCTCCTTTCCCCCTGCCAGCAGTCTGTTAGGTTGAAGATCATGTTGGCTGAGGCAGACGACAGCCGTAAAGCTCTTCCAGGATACATCTGCCCTCTAGGAACAAGCTAGGCTTGAGGGGTAAGGGGTTAGGGGTTAAAGTTTAGGGAGAGTCCAGGGTTTAGGGCCCGCCTGTCCAAATCATTATGCCGAATACTTGTATTCTTCCTGTTGCCAGAAGGAAGAAGTTGCTCTCATTGTGTAGCGACTGCCACCGGTAGTGTTGACACAACTATTAGACTTGACAGCGGTAGCCGTAGTGTTATTGCAACAGTAGTTTCTTCTTCTCACGATGTTAATGGCAGTGGCAGTGTGCCGGCACTGGTAGTGGTCGCAGTGGTGGTGGTAATTGTAGCTGCAATAGTAGCAGCAGGAGTCGCAGTAGCAGCGGTAGTAGCAGAAGCGGTCGTAGGAGATGGAACAGGAGTCGAGGAGGGGAGGAGGACTAGTTAGTAGTCAAGTCGTAGAACAACAATACACCTCTATCCGAAAGTCTAGTCGACCGACGGCCATGAGCTTAACAGAAATACACAAGTGTGCAACATGTGTATGGCTGAGGATTGGCATAAAGTATACTATACCATGTTATATCATTTTATATCATATTAGATATGTTTATCATCTTATATAGCTTATAAAGGCTTATGAACAACATAGCTTATTCGTAGAATATTGATAAGGCAAGTGGCACGGACCTCCCAGATCTCCTCTTCCTGAGCCGCTCTGGGCAACTCCACCTAAGATGGCGGGAGGACTCCGAGCTTCAACTTCCCTCTCTGGACTTCGGCTTACACCGGTTCGAGACCCAAGGAGAAGAGAGCTCAAATCAAAACCGGAACACCGAAGCATGAGTCGGTATAGACGAGTGATACACGCTTGAGCCAGTCATGTTGGCGCCTCTTACACCGGAAGGGTTGGTGGTGGTAGTGCGATCTTAACCAGATTTCGCTCAGTCAGGATATCATACGCATCTTCTAGCAGACAAGGAAACCCAATTCTAAACCCTAAACCCCACCAAGAAACTGGGAAAAGGTCTGCATGCTCTGGAAGCTCCGCCAGGGAATCGTCGATGACGTATGGAGTGAGGCCGCCAGGGCAGAAGGAGTAGGACAGCAACCGCTCCTTAGAGAAACCCAAAATTAAGCAAAAGGGGGGCTAATAAAGGCGCGCACTATACTACAATTATAAGAAGGAACCCCCCAAAATAGTATTGGCAATTATTTGGGCCCCTATATTAGGGGACTTCCCCGTGGATGCATGGTAGTCTCGGCCATCATTCCGAAGCTCTACAACCGATTAGCCCTGAACAAGCCCTTCATGGAGAGTCTGCGGGAACTTGGTCAGCTCATGTTGTTTGTTGTGTACTGGACTCTTCATGTTGACCTGGCTTCAACTACTGCAAGGTGGCCTGGCTCGGGTCCCAAGCATATCAGTTGCTACATTCGAGATGTGCTGAGAATACTGTAGGGGCCTTAAAAACATTAATCGGGTTTTAGGGCCCATTATGCCATATTTCACAAACCCCCAAAACAGTATAGGTAACCATTAAGGCCCCTATTTTAGTGCATTATCAACAGGCATGATAAAATTCAACGCCGCCTTGGACAGTTCATCTGCGCTTTCGAGTCTCTACCATGGTCCAGCAACGGCGATCGAAGTCCGGGGTCCGCCACACCAGCACCTGCACGGAACGGATCACTTTCTTAGACTATTGTATTAGTATAATATAGTATGCAACACTAGGCCACTAGGCTATAATACACTTCGACTTTAAGAGAATGTTGAGGAACCCTAGAGCTGTAGGTTCTTCAACTGGGCGTCGAAGTAACCAGGGAGAACAAAAAAATATGAACTTGTTTGGGCTTGGGTGCCATGTCCGGATGGACAGAAAGGCAAGCACATGCATCAAACAGGCTAAGATTTTCCATCCCCTTCGAACCAAAGCAACATTGAGGTCCAAGAACGCCGGGGCCTTGGTACAAGCCGCAATGTACAACGGCAATGCGGCCATGGCCAAGTCGGCTCCGAAGAAGTCGTCCTGCATTTCGACATATTACGTTCGCCCCGGTTTAAGGTTTAGGGTGAAGCGATCCGATTCCTATGAAGTTCCTCACCCCGCCCCGATCGAAAGCCCAGGTATCTTCTTGACACAAGCCCGGAACCGTGGCCTGCTCGCAGCAGCAGTAATCAATCCAGAATGCGACCTCGCACCTGCGAGACTCGGTGGAGGTATGACTTGCAGTCGGTGGTAAATCGAAAGCAGCCAGTAGTAAGCGGAGTCAATGCTCCTTGTTGTTTTGGCGCTCTTCTCAAAATTGGCCCTCTGAAAGAATAAGTCGGAAGCAAGGGCGCTGTACACCCGCGGCAGCTGCCATTCGCATAAACCACTTCGCAAAGGTCACCAGCTTGCGGGCCTCCAGGGTTCTTGAAATTTCGAAGTTCCCCTGGTTGCAACTGGAACGGGCCAAGGCTACTGGGAATCCGGGGCCTGCGGTTTCAGCGGGGATGGGCTTTCAAAAATTGGGATCTATCTTTAGTCAGTCCGACAGTCCTGCTCCACGTGTTAGGGTAGGAGGGAGCAGCCTTTGGAGACCCGCAAGACATCTGCAAACAGCAGAAGACACGCCGTGCTCTAGAGCCCTGCACTGCAGAAGCGCATACAGCTTGCCTTGAGGACTCCTACGGACCTAAAACGTAGCCGGCCTTTGTAGTGCGGTTGTTTGCTGCCGGGTCCTCCTCCTCCTCCTCCTCCTCCTACTACTACTACTACTACCACTACCACTACCACTACCACTACTACTACTACTACTACTACTACTACTACTACTACTACTACTACTACTACTACTACTACTACCTACTACTACTACTACTACCTACTACTACTACTACCACTACCACTACCACCACTACCACTACCACTACCACTACCACTACCACTACCACTACCACTACCACTACCACTACCACTACCACTACCACTACCACTACCACTACCACTACCACTACCACTACCACTACCACTACCACTACCACTACCACTACCACTACCACTACCACTACCACTACCACTACCACTACCACTACCACTACTACTACTACTACTACTACTACTACTACTACTACTACTACTACTACTACTACTACTACTACTACTACTACTACTACTACTACTACTACTACTACTAATATTACGACATAGTACGACCAGGCCTACAATCCGACACAATGTTGCACTGTGCAAATGCCCCGAGACGGTCCCAAACAAACAGCCACAACAAAGCAAAACTCCACAAAAATCCTGGGATGCATCAATTCACCTTGATCCTCGATTCCTCGGCACAAAGGACTACGGCCACAGCAGAGAAGACTGAGCAAACCCTCAGCACGCCTTGATGTTCTCTGCAGAGTCAGGGTGGCCACGCTGTGACCCAGATGTACGCAGCCAGCGGTGAGACAAGAGGAATACAACCTTATGTCCGTGGTCAATCGTGCCAGCTCGCACGGTTGCGTCGGGCGAGCTGAAAGACTCTTCGTGCTCTGCAAAAACAGAATTCTCAAGCGGTTTTCGGCTCAAGTGACGAGTTGGCGTTCTGCAGCATCGCGCAAGACTCCCAGTCGGTCCTGGCTTGCAGGCTTGGCTTCCAATGCTTCCAGTTGCCGAAGTTCCGGCAGTTTTGTTCGTATCAAACTACCGAAAACCTAACGGAAAGGTGTTGAAGGCATGGCAGTCTCCTCGACTTCGTCCAGGAGCTCCTCAACAGAGGTGGCGCCAGCTTCTGCGCCGTACTTGGGGAGTTGTCCAGCAGCTGCAATCCTGGACCAGTGTATGAGCCTCAAAGGTGGCGTTTCCGGACACTCCAAAATCCACCAGGACTTCTTCTCCAAACCCGCGTTCACGAAGTGTCGGTTCGAGAGCAGTCTCTGCACGTGCTGGCGCACGCTGGCGATCCGAACGGCGTGGCTGACGCTGGTCCGGACCTGATAGACACCTTGTCTCGGCGCCATGCTCAAGGTCGCACGCAATGAAACAACACTCAGACCTAAGTCCACCTCCCGCGCTCGAGTTCGGCAGTGTCGCTGCGACTTTCTTGACGTAGTTATAGGAAATCAAATATCTTTTCAGCAAAGCCACTCGTCAACGTAGCCTGGTCCAGGTTAGCGCCATTCGCTGTGTCCACCAAAGACGCCAGGCGCTTGGGCATCTGGTAGTGAAGATACCGATGGTAGAAGGGCAAGGACCTGAAAGAAAAGACTGGAGATCGACTGAAACCCCAAAGACCTGAAAGAAAATACTGGAGATCTACTGAAACCCCAAAGAGCCCTTTAAATTTGCACCCCGAAAAAACCGAAGCCCCTCCGGAACGGCTGGTGCTGCGTTTAGGTGGCTATCGGAATCTCTTCTACGAAGGCCCTTCCTCGATCTTTGGCTTGCTGAGGTCACATGATATACTGAGATCTTACGGCTAGAGGGGCCTTAATTTTTTAAGTAGGGTTTTGGGGCCCATTATACTATAAATACACAAAGGAATTTAGGATTTCGATTTCCACGACTCGCACATGGCAGGGCAGGCTCCAGATCAGGATTTAGAATTTACCGTACTTCACGTTTCAGGTGGGGGTTTCAGCCAAGCACAACCTGAGGCCACCACCAGCCACCCAAGTGTGCACGCGCCAGGGTGTAGGCCTTGCCCGAGAGGTCAGATGTCTCGCATGTCGGGGCTGATTAACTGCGATTACAAGGTACCATAACAAACCGGCTGCCTGACCAGCAATTACTGTGCTCCCTGACGAAGACCCTACAGTGCTTCATGATAGCAGGAACACGACTCCAGAAAGACTTGCAACCTCAACATTCTCGCGACAAACTAAGCTTATGCGTCGAGGAACCCGTCAAACAGTCAAGCCTGCTGAAAACCCAACCAACCGATAACCAAGGAGTGCTATAGAATCTTTATGAATCTTTCCCATCTGAGCCGGCAAGCCCCGCTGTCGATGCTTCGCAGCAAAGACTGGAGCTTTCGCAGCTTCCACGCCTCAGGCAGGAGTCGGCTCCCGTGCACATCTGCGAGTTTCAGATTAAATTATGGGACCCAAATAATCCAGATGTAAAAAAGGGATCTTTGCAAAAAGGACCCCAACACGCACAGCGTGCCCAAATGCGGCAACTCATACTCCGGGACGACAGACGCACCAAGCTTCTGCCTAGCAGCGGTGCGAGCGGTCTTTGTCTGTGCCTGCACCTGCGAAGCTTCGAGGTTTTATGCCCCCACCCTGTAATGATGACAATAAGGATAATATTAGGGCCCTATTAATGTATATTCCTATATTCCTATTATATTCCTATTATTTGCTTCGACGACGCGGTGCAGTCGGCTGAGCCGGCCATGACATGCTTAAACAGGTCATGGCTGAAAACACAGGGCATGTCGATAGGGTGTTTTTCCCAAGCTTAGGGTTTAGGGTTTACCCGTTTCAGCACTCACTCTCGGACGAACCACAGCGAGGATTCCAGTACCGACGACAGCACTTTGGGAAGGCGTTGAGGGTTTAGCCACCCCTGAACATGAACATGACGAGGAATTGCGTTCAGACCGTGCCTGTTGCAGCACGAAACGCGCTGCGTCGAGCCAAAGGTCGTCGTCGGAGTCGGCCAGGGGTCGGAGGAGCTCCCCATCCTCCGTTCTCGTGGACATATGTTTAGGGTTTAGGGTTTTGGGTCTAGGATTATAATACTGTGGTATAGTAGTCATATTGGGTGGTTGTCAATATTAGGGTCCCTTTTTGGGTCCTTATGTTAAGCACGGCAACTTTTATTCAGGTACCCAAAAAGGGACCATAATTTTGACAACCACCCATATGATTTGGCACATTTGTGTTTTTCGTTGACTATCCACCTAGTTTGCAATTATGGGCGTTTCTTTCGTTGCCATTGGTCGGATCGTAGTGAGTCATGGACTTAGTGCAATTCTTGCTGCAATCATTGCTGGTAGGGTGGTCATCGTCATCCTTGTATTTGTGTCACGATTACCCGTGCTATTCCGATTTCCGTGACTTGCACGATTGTGTGTTTCCAACTTCATTACTACTATGTTCCTGTTACTGTTGCCGCTATTGTTGGCGTGATTATTTCTGGTAGCAATCGCATCTCTCTTTGTGGGCGTAACCGTAGAAGCGGTAGCAGCAGCGCAGCGGGAGGAGGAGTAGGGGAGGAGTAGTAGTAGTAGTAGTAGTAGTAGTAGTAGTAGTAGGAGTAGTAGTAGCAGTAGTAGTAGTAGTAGTAGTAGTTGTAGTTGGTAGTTGTAGTAGTAGTAGTAGTAGTAGTAGTAGTAGCAGCCGTAGCAGTAGCAGTAGCAGTAGCAGTAGCAGTAGCAGTAGCAGTAGCAGTAGTAGTAGTAGTAGTAGTAGTAGTAGTAGTAGTAGTAGTAGTAGTGCTAGTAGTAGTACAAGTAGTAGGAGTAGTGGCAGCCGCAGTAGTGAAAGCATATTTGTTGGTATTGGCTTTACTCTTTCTTGCCACTTTCCGCATGACGGAGAATGCAGTCGACGGCTGGCCGATTCGGGTTGTAAAGGAGTCTCAATTTCAATTAGGTTCGTGAACGTGACAGGTTCCACGAATGATTGCACATGCACTATTTGTATTATGATTACTGTTACGACTACTGTTAATAAGGATGATTGTTATCCGTGTTATACCATATATCATTATTGCAAACACTTGTAGTGCTAATGAACAGGCGGCCCCACTAGTGCGGACCCACGTGGATAAGATGTGAAGGAGGCCTTCTGCATGGAACTTTTGCACTGGCACATGGCAAAGAGCACAGAAAGCTAATCGTCAGGAAGACCTGTGTCACGTAACAACAGCCTTGACAAAGACATGTTTATGGCATCAGGGCAGGAGTGGCTTCGAAACTCAGTAGTTATAGTTATCCCTCAGGTTGCCCTTCTGAGGGAAGGTGGGCACGAAATGCAGCCAAGCATCTCCGCCGGGCAAAAACCGCCGATTGAAATTGTAGCCTGAGGGGTGCAGGTTCTCCCGGGCAAATGCACGCGGAATGGAGGCCGCTTACCTGTTGATATGTTGGGACAGGAAGCAAATGCAGGAGACCACATGCCGGGTAGCGTTCCAACTTCTCCAGCGTCTTCCTCTTGCGGATTCTCAGACATTGACGGCGCAGCCACCAGACCTTAAACTGCCATCATTGCTTCCGGAGAATGCCGTTTTGGACCTACTTCTACGTTCCATAGCTCCGCCTTATTGCAAGCTATTGCAAGGCCTGCTGGCAAGCGCAGAAGTATCGCAAACCTGCTAGAAATTTCGCTTGAATCGCCGGATGACAGAATATGACAGAGTAGCTGCGAACCTCGAGTGGCCGTAGCATCAGAAAAAAGAAACACTAAGGACAGGAACAACACAGCCATAATGACGAAATACCATCGCTCATCTTACAAGTGACTCAGTCGCAGTCGTTTTCGAATCCGCAACACCCAAGCAATATCCTGAAATTCAGAACGCACGAAAAGCAGAGAAGCGCTAGCAGCCAGCGCAACCGTCGAAAGGATAATGATGACACCTGTTCGAGACTGAAGGTGCCTATAATACGTCTCTTGCACGTGTGACTGCAGTGTCTCTTTGCGTGTTTGTGCGTGCACATATATAGAACTCTCCCTCTCTCTCTCTGTCGCTCTCTTTCTTTCTGCTGGGCTTAGGGGTCTCTCTCTCTCTCTCTCTCTCTCTCTCTCTCTCTCTCTCTCTCTCTCTCTCTCTCTCTCTCTATATACATACATACATATGTGTGTGCGTTTTCATGCATGTGCAGGTCTCTCTGTCTATCCGTGCATACATAAGAAAACACACACACACATACATATATGTAGATATATACACACACACATATATATCTCTATATATATATACACACATTATTTATGTAAATTTTTGTTTGTTTATGAAGCTCGGGCATTTGTACACACACATGCACATACACTCACAGAGACATGCGTATACATATACAAATATATAATACAACTACATATGTATATATATATATATGTATATATATATATATGTTTGTATGTACATTTAGATTTAGACTTAAAAAGTATCTAGCTACGTATTCGTATATTCCAGTATGTATACATATCGCTGCAGTGTACACTTTTCTATGTAAGCGGAACATAAGCAAACCAAGCCAATCCTCTTGAACGTCAGAACTCTCGACACCATTGTCCAGCAAAAGACCGGTTGTAACAGAAGCCCCTGTGTAACACAAGATCCATTCTCTTGTGCTTGCATATTCATGTACTTATTTGAACCGATCCCTTCGGAGTTCCCTCCCCGAAGCATGTTGCTTTCTCGGATCCTGTGGAAAAACAAGAGAGCTGATGCCAAAAGCCTACTGGACAGGGTTTAGGCGTTTTTGCTGCATGTGCGGTTACGCCTAAATGTCTGGAGCCGCGGCTCGAGCTGCCAGATGCAAAAAAAAACACTGTGCAATGTCAATACTACCTGTGCATGTCACTACTACTACTGAAGCATGAATACAGATGACTACAAGAATGCAGAGGCCTGGTGGTCTACTAGCAATTGGAATGTAACCATGTGGAACTAAGCATGGTGGAATGTAAGTTTAGCAGTTTAGCATACCTTAGCTTCGAATGGTTGCTGCCGGTGGTTGCTATCGGTGGATGCATTCTTCCGGGTCTTGTGCAAACGTGGAATCGGCAGCCTATGGCGGAATTGGTGATGGTGTCCTCAACCACGGTCTCACGTGCTTCCAGGCCCAGCAGAGTCGTCAGCCCATTGGAGTCACATCCTGGACGATGATAGCAAAGCTTAGTAAGTCTATCTATGGGTTGATTGAAGAGTTTCAATTTCCATGAACCCTAATCTGCACCCTACGCCAAGTCCCCACAAACCGAAACTCTAGACCGACATTCCCGTCGGAACGCATCCTTCTGTATACACCCTGCGTTTGCGCACACCCCGATGTGCGGGCCAAGGCGCCCCAATAGAACTCCCACCATTGACGTTCATCCGGGCAGGGATCCCCGGAAGGGGAGCATGCAGATATCCAAGGAAAGCTCGACAAGCAGCCTGAGTTCCGGATGCACGGTTTGGGGGTTGGAACTTTGAAGGGGTGGTGGCTTCAGGTGCTTCAGGTCTGAAGGTTTTGGTGCTGAAGTGCTTGGGTTCAAGGGTTCAGGGCTGGTTTGCCCCTGCATGGCTTCGGATATGGGGGCCGTGTAGCACTGTAGCACAAACCCTGCTCCACCTTAGCTGCTGTTCCTTCTCTCGTCCTTCCAAACTGCTACAGCATCAAGAGGTGGATTGAGGGGTGTCTGCCACAATAATGCCATGGGTCATGATAAGAAAAACATACGGCCTGTTCAAAACTTGACCTCTGAAAAGGGCAGGGCTAGAGATTAGGGTTGTGAGCCCGGCAACGATATAGGAGCACTGCCAGTACGAACCAGGGGATGCGCAGCAGCGGTATCCTGAGGTTTCGGGACAGGCTTGCAAGCTTGTGGCTTGGAGTCTGGATTTTGGGTCCTCGTGTCCGGGGACCAGCGACTGTCTGGCGAGAAATAGCCCTACAAGTTACCTCTGCAATGTGCCCAGCCATGAACTGAACGAGCTTTAGCTTTTCCGTGCCTTGGATCTTCCAATCTTAATTGCTGCCATCAAATACCTGAACCAAATGATCAAACGTGCCGAGGGTCCAACGGCACCCAGGAAATGCAGCGAAAACCCTGGGCAAAGAAATTGAGATTTCAAGATGAGGGTATGTGCGGTATGTGAACTTGAACCACTGCTTGCTGGATCGGAATCATTGGAACCGGCAGTTAGTGTGGCTGTGTAGCTAGCTGCTGTTTGTACCAACATGTATCAACACATCCTGTACACCTAAACCTAGTTCTCTTCGTGATAGAACTATGCCGTCTAGTATATGTAGAGCATATGGTGAACAGACGATCAGAAGCCTCAACATGAAGACAGGAATCCAAATGGTGAAACCTGTAAGCCTCAATCGAGTATTGAAAAGCAAATCGTGAAGATATGGACGATCGTCGTGCTCAACGCACATTTCACATGGGCAGATACAAAAGTTAGCACGCACACGCACACACATCTGCATATATATATATATATATATATATACATATATATATATATATAAATATGGTACCCCCCCCCCCCCACGTACCTACCCCTTTCCTGCTTTCCTGTTCAGGTGCGGAGCTCAGCAAGCCGATGCAGGTTTATGTCATCCAGGAGATACGGGCTGCAGTAAGATAAGATGGTGCTCCTATACACAATCCCACTCGTGCTCCTGTACACCGTCCCAAAACCGCACGGTCGCGATTGAAAATACCAATAAATGCGTCAAACCGGGAACCAAAAACACAAGAACAACCAATAAAAATGGCACACAAACCAATAAAAAAACGCGTACAAGGAGTTCACAACATTGGAAAAACCAATAGAAACCATAAAAACCATGATTTTCAAACTATCGCCCGGGAAGTAGTGTCGCGCCTGGACATAAATTGAAAATCATGGCTTTTATGGTTTCTATTTTTTTCCCAATGTTTTCGGCTTCTGAAACTCGGAAACATTGGAAAAACCAGTAAAAGTGGCACACAAGGAATCCGAAACATTGGAAAAACCAATAAAGTTGGCCGACAAGGAGCTTAAAGCATTGGAAAAACCAATAGAAATGGCACATCGGGAGTCCAAAACATTGGAAAAACCAATAAAAGGGCCTACAAGGAGCTCAACACATTGGAAAAACCAGTAAAAACCATAAAAGCCATGATTTTCAATCTATCGCCCGGGAAGTGGTGTCGCGCCTGGATATAGATTGGAAATCATGGTTTTTATTGGTTTTTCCAATGTTTTCGGCTTCTGAAACTCGGAAACATTGGAAAAACCAATAACAGTGGCACACATTTCTAGTTGTGAGGATTGAAAATCAAGGCTTTAATCAGTCGTCAATATCCAGAGTGCCAGAAGACGTCTCAAAATGGAAGAGCTTGCATACTACAGATTATCATCCAATTATAAACCTTTCCTATCCACTATTAGCTGTTTATCTTACAAGCTGTTTACATTTAAAAAACTGTAAGCTTAATACAAGTTCTAACAATCAATAAACGTATATCTTATGGTCTAGATGTTGGTATGGTCTGTAAAGTCCTAGTAACTAGTAACCAGGCTAAGTCTTATGCGTTGAAACACCTGCTATGTTAGGTAGGCACCTGTAGTCAGCGCCCCATAGCCCCCAGATGTTTATAGAATGTAATGGTATGAAATGGCGTGCAGAATGAGTAGCAACAAACGTACTCAGTAGGATGATAACAGTTAACACATAGTTGATACCCATAAATATCCTGTAATCATAAGAGGGGTGGTTTGTATTACTAGTACTTCATTAACCTCATGCGCAACTTATGGTATCCGTCTTACTTGCTACAGTTTCACTACATCAGGATACATCAGGTCTATCATCAACATTAACATCTTTATGACTGCTGTGTTACTTGTCATATTATGAAATTATTAGGTTTACGTTTAGCAACTGTATTAACATATAACCAGATCAGTTGGGATTTCATCATCTATTTTGTTAATAGTTCTACCAATATTGACAGGAGCTTTGCTAATGTTATTAACAGATATAGAATATGAACCATACTTTGGAGGTGATCCTATATTCTACCAACGTTTGTTTGGTTCTTTGGATCCGTTGGTATTCAATAGTTTAACAATAATAATTGGCCTATTACACGTCTTGGTTAGCTTATTTATGATCTTAGCTATGAGTTGTATTTGTCTATTAGGAAAGTTTAGTTTGGCCATATCATATATTTACAAATAGTATGGAATAGTGATGCAACAGCTAAGTTTGCAACTTAGTAAACTGATATCTGATAATATCATTACCAACTAGTTCGCTAAGATCTTTTAATTGGTGTTCTACATATCTGAATACTTCATGCATATTTAAATTTATGATACTAGATCACAACTAATGCTATCTGGTATACTAGATCTTTCATATAAACTGTATATAATAGGTGGTCCAACTGGTATTGTACTTGGCTAAATAGTAATGCTGACACAGAATTACATGACTATTATGTTGTTGCACGCTTTCCTTTGTCTTATCATTAGGTACAGTCATTGCTATTCTGTTAAGTCTGACATATGTACAGTCAGATCAAGTATGATTAATAACAGGATCAACATGACTTACTAACATTAGGCTGACAGCTGGTGGTATGAATGGTTTAGATTAGCTATGTTTAGTAGTTATTACAAGATAAGTTATTTAGGTTATTCAGGGTAGTTGTGTTCCAGTGGTATTATGCTACCGTCTACACCATTACATCTAAGTGGTTACTAATGTTATGCCTAGAAGAGTACAAGAGTATGGAGATTAGTTTATAATCGTTGGAATAACACTAGTTTAGTTGGTTAGAGGTTGCGCATTAAATCATTTTTTGTCACTGCTGATAGGGAAGGTGGGCCCTCTATGAGCCGATGTACCCGTACCTCCATACGGGGTGCTCCCAACAACCAGCATATATAGATGGGATGGCAACTTCTTTTAGTAACACCAACTGATAGCAGTAGCTGCATGCTGCATGGTGTTGCAAAGACTATGGTGATACAACTAATAAGTGAATGACTGTAATGATATTAGTAGAATGGATCGTAGTGGGCCTACTTCAGTGGCACCATGTCAAAGGAAGGTTGCTTACACATCAATAGCTGTTGTATCTGGCTCACAGAGTCTTTGTCTTTGTAATACGTCGGAGTGTTCAACACTTGGAGATAAACACACCAAATAGGTAGGTACGTCGGGGGGGGTAGCATATATATATATATATAAATATATATATATATATATATATATTAATATATATATATAAGAACATGCATCTGTGTGTCCACCGATGCATACATGTCGCTTTTCCTAAGTAGTTCCATGACAATACTAAGACATACTGTACTCACACACAAACTTACACGTGTGCATGCATACATACATACATACATACTTACGTACATACATTTTGTAGCACTCGCGCTCGAAGCTTCTACATTACATCACCTTACATATATATATATATATATATATACACATGCTTGCATGCATGCATGCATGCATGCAGGGAGAGAGAGAGGGAGAGAGAGACTAAGTAAGAGAAGTAGTTCGCAAAGACCCCGAAACCAAACCCCAATCTAATTAATCCTTAAGCCAAGTCCAAAATAGCCCAAACACCTCAAGCACTTTTTAACCCTCCACTCCAGATCTTGCCTGTACCAGAGCCAATCCCGAACTTCTGGGATGCACTGCACCACGATCGTGAAGGAGAGCCTCATGAGCGGGTTTAGGCTCAGTACTTAAAGTTGAGGGATTTATGGGTTCGGGTTTTAGGGCTTCGGGGGTTTGTGCTTCTTGCGAGCTCTTGTCCCCGTGGCTGTTTTCGGGCTTTGCACTATGTAGGGCTTTCGGATACTCCCCGGCAGTCGACTCCAAGCCTCTCCAGCATGTTGGACTGTTAGTATTACCACTATTGTTAGTAGTCTTGTTATTGTTGTTAGTTCTCATTGTTGTTATTATAGTTAGTTTGTCTGCCCTGCATGTTTTCATTAGTACTAGTGTTGTTCGTGTTATCATGATTATTGCGATTGTTCATGCTGTTGACATTATTCTATCGTAGTTTTTGTTGTTACTACTTGTTGTTGCTATTATCCTGCTGATTGTTGTCATCATTATTACTAGTATTGTTATTTTTATGATTCTTCTTATTGTTGCTATCAGTATTAGTAGTATCATTATTGCGAGTAGTACTATTCTTGTTGTTGCTCTTATGACTACCATTATTATTGGTCTATACTGTCCATCTCTAAACAAAGATGCAAGGGACAGAAGCGAAGTGGCGATGGACGTCGTGACCCAAAGCTTGTCGGCAAAGGCGGCCTGATATCTGCGAGCTCAGTGAAAAGCCTGGACCGTATAGAATGATAGTAATAACAAAAACGCTAATGACACTAATTCGTGATCATAATCATGCCAAGATTGGTGATAATAGTACGAACGGCAACAAGAAGAAAAAAGACTTGTATCTGGTGGACGCGGTCTACAGAGAATGATTTTTGGCGCTGCCTACAGGACTTTGATATGCGGCATCTTCAGATGTCACGACCATAGCAGGGCCTACCCACCATCGGCCTCGTCGTAGAAGATCAAGAAAACAGCTTGCAGTGCGCTCTGCTCCACATCCTCGAAAATGAATCGCAGGAAGGCGATGCGTGCTTCCGACAGCTTCCTTGGATGAGGTTGGAACTGCAGCAGCTGCAGCACAGAAGATGATACAGCAAATTTCTTGTGATAGCAGCAGCGAGATCTAGGAGCATGCTGATGTGGCAGAATGCGGCAATGCTGCATTTTCCTATCTGGAGCAATTCTGGTGATGATCATGACGATGATGACGACGTGTCCTGAAAGCTGCTCCTATGTCGGTGAAAAGAGTCTTCGGCATCATGGTGGTGGTGGTCTGATGATGGTCTGAAGGTGAGACAATGGCTTTGAACCGTCTGGATGACTGTAACAGTGTCATTGTGTAGCCTTATAGCTGGTTGACGTCAGGCTGCATGGCCCAGGAGCTCGCCCCACCGAGCCGCTCCTCCCAGGATTACTGCTATGACAAAGCTGACGCCCTAAAGCGCTGATGCTGATGTGAAACCTGGACAAACGCAGGTGCAACGCGGATCCATGTGAACTTCGAGCACACAACCTCCAAGGCTCGGGAAGATGATGCAATGAAACCCCCTGTCAAACTCCCATTTCATCGGACCCTAAACTTTGTCAATACAGGACCCAAGTCTAGTCAGACTACGACCTGCAATCATCTTGGCCGAGGGCCCTGAACCCTAACCCTAACCACAGCCCAACGGGCCAAAAGAATCCTGAGCCTGGAAGTTCACGGTTCACGGCTCAGGGCCCAGTTTCCGTGAATATGTCAAGATTGTTCCGAATCGAACTGCGTCACGCGTGCTCGGAGCTGATTTCAAGGTTGGGCATCTTGCGCGGCCTGCACCGGAAGAGAACGACCAGTGTAACCGTGTGGGTTTGTAAATGTTGGTAGCTCCCCATTCCTGTTTAACGGTTCAACGGAGGATTGCGATACACCGCTGAATTCCGAGATCCTTACGATACCCCAGAGTCCCCAAACTCTCAACCCTACAACACTGAAAAGGCTCAAAAATGCAATTATTCACACGATTCGTATTTGATCCACCCTTTTTGTTTCAGCGCGGGCTTGGCCCTTAAAGGAAGACCGGTCGAGTCCTCCACTGCTGGGCGCACGGCGTAGACGAGGACCTGCCAAAGGTCAAACCCCTAAACCCAAAACCTCTAAACCCTGAATCTCTAAGGCCCTAGACCCTAAACCCTCAACCCTATATGGGTGGTTGTCAAAATCATGGTCCCTTCTTGGGTCCTTAATATAACACGGCACCTAATATTTAGGGTACCCTAATTTGGACAACCACCCATAAACCCTTAAAGCTAGACCTAAGAGTAACATAGGAACAAAAAGGGTGCCCTTTTTGGTTTAAAGGGGGTTACAAGGGAACCGAAACCCTCAAAAAGGGAATAAGGGCCTACTGTGGGTCCTAGTAATCCAACATCGGCGCAACCCGACTCCATCTCAGGCCGAGGCCAAGTTGTCGGAACCGCGGAGAGCCGTAAAGGCGCCCTGAACCAGGAGACGGTCCCGCTCCTGAAAAAGGGCACCATCTTAGGGTTTAGGGTATCTATAGGGTTAAGGGATTTAGGGATTTAGGGTTTTTTAGAAAGAAGAGGTTTTAGGGTTTAGGGTATCTATAGGGTTTAGGGATTTAGGGTTTAGGGTTTTAGTGTTTCGGGATTTAGGGTTTTGGGGTTTAGGTCGGGAACTCGCATATGGCACCCTAAGGAACAGAATCCTTCCTTTAAGGACCCCAACATAAGGTACCCCTAATTTTCGGAAGCTCACAATTCGGGGGCTCCGGGCTTCTACGGGGTTGTATTGTAGCGAAGTGTCATTAGTATAGTATTCGTACACTACATTACTGCAGAGTATAGTAAACATATCTGTCTATAGAAAACCCCTTGTAAACTCCACAGCATCTTCTTGGAACCCTTTTCAGCCCATGCTGAAAAGGGTTCCAAGAAGATGCTGTGGAGTTTACAGCAGCTTCTCGGAACCCTAAACCCTAAACCCTCAGATCATCTTCTTTGCGATCATCGGAATCGCCTCAGGGGTTGTGGCCCGGTTATACTGCACAGCCATGGCCAAGAGGACCAGCAGCTGCACCACAACCTGCATCGTTAAAGGATCTAGGTCCGGGTTTAGGGGCTAGGATCTACATCAGGGTTTATAGGCTTTAGGGTTAGGACGGTTAGGATCATCATGGTCATCATTTTCAACCTGTTGAAGACCATCATTGTGTCATCATCGCTGTCATCACCAGGATCGTTCCGAGCAAGGGAATCGCCTCCCGTCGCCAATATCGTCACCACTATCACTAGCATCACTACTGCGAGAATCATAAGCAGCACTTAGATCGCCCCTGCTCCCCGCATACTGTATTCAAAGCTGCGCTACCCAACCTCAAAGTCCCGCACCCACAGCAGGTCCTGCCTGCATCAGGCCCACCCCAAGGCCAACCAACCAAGCGGAGACAAACCAGAGCTCAAAGTTGCACTTGTTCGCAATCACCGGGAACCTCAGCTCTTGGGGATTCGGGAACCTCAGCTCGGATTCGGAGGGTAAACTTACTTCAGCCACATAATTATCCCCTTCTGATCAAGAAGGGCGGCACCGGGTACAAAGATGCACAAAAGCCATGGACCCTTGTTTCAACTGTGCCAAAGCTTCCAGAAAGCAAAGTTCTTGTGAACCCCTAAACCCTTGCTTGCCGGCTCGGCCGAGGTGCGTGGCATCTTGATAAGTATCCGTGAGCAAGATGAAGGAGCAAAGGGCCCTCGGACGTCAATGCTGCACTGGGAGACGCTTCAGATTCGACCCCCAGAGTCGCACACAGCAGGCACGGATCCACGACTAGTCCAGAAGTGTTTCGGGGTGGGAGAGTCTAGGATTTCGGGATTCCGACGCGGATGATCAAACAGTGGGTCCCTGCACAGCCTGAAGAGCAGTCGCCATCGAAAGGCGTAGCAGAAGACGCCGGCTCGCCTTAGAGGTTATGTATGTATGTATGCCGTTTATTCATGTAGGTATGTGCACATATGCATATCAGCCACCTGTACAGAATCACGTACGGCACACTGTGTTTACACTACACTGGCCCACGCGCAAATACCCTCCGCACGTGCCTACATACAGACATACATACATAATTACAGACAGAACCATACACATACACACTTATTACACATATATATATATATATACACACACACACAAACACATCCAAATCCAAAATCATATCCATGCATGCATATATGAATACATACGTCCGCCCAGGGTAACAAGATGCAACAAGCATACCAGCACACCTACACATACTTGCATGCATGCATTCAATTTAGATTCAGTCAAACGGTACATTCATATCGCGATGCCGTGCACGCCCAGCCTGCCACCCAGCAATCGGAGCAGCGTCAAGGACATGAGGTTCGTAAGGCACATGTACCTGCGCTGTGTCTAGCTTGATGACCCCTCCCCCCCTTCACAGCTTCAGGGCCAAGTTCAGGGCATCCACCCCGAAGTTGCAGCGAATCTCACGATCCACACGTCAAAACGCTATATGAGGCCCTATCTCTGTTTGCCCGGTCACGCTCACTGTCTGAGCTGGGGACCACGCTACACGATTCAAAACTATCATACTAACCCAACGCAACTCGTCTCTGCTCCCTACCCTAAATCCCTGAATCCCCAAACCCTCCGTCCCATAAACCCCCCAGGTCCCTACAGCATAATACCCCTAAATCCCTGTCATCCCTCTAATCACCAAACCCCTAAATCTCTCCAATTTGTCTCATCCCTCTAATTAACCCTAACAAACCCCTTTTTGGGAGAGAAACTCTTGGCAGGCTCTCGTGAAGCCAGCGTGGCGCTCGTGTGGAACTGCCCCGGCAGAGCTGCATGGATGACATTCGCCATGTGTGCACTGCTGACTGAATCTGATACCCCAACCCATAACCCCTGTATAACCCCTATAAACCCCCAAACCCAAAACTGTACATTCTATCGTCCCTAATGTCTCGAATCTTTTCCCCAAATCGGCAGCCACGGAGCCCCAACCAGGCACCATGGATATAGCCGGGGAAGCCCTGGTCGCAGCCTCGGGGTGTGTTTTGATTTATGCAATCTTGTCCTTCGGCTGTTAACCTCCAGAAAACCCAGTTTGGCTCAGGGAGATACTGAGCCTCAAGGGGGTATTGGGTTAAGGGGTTTTGCGGCTGCGGTGACTTCAGCCGTACATTTAGGGGTTTCGACGCGCACACTTGGGCTTGGACTCTCGCATCTCGGGCAATGCCCCGGCGAGGACTGTTCACTCGGGTTTTTCAGCACTCACGACTACGACAAGCCTGGCTCACACTCGCACGCACCACATAGACAAAAGCATCACCGCTACATTGCTAGCTGCACGACCCCGGGTCAGGGAGGTCGAGCCTGTAGTCCTCTAGGAGCCTTCATGCCTAGGATTAGAGTTTAGAGACATGCTCTAGAAGCAAAACGTATGACAGTGTACATAAGCTTCTGCAGTCTATCTGATGATCATACCTTGCAGAAAGGCCCTGAACACAAGCTGTGAAATTTTAGTCTGCGCCCAAAATAAGGCCCCGAAGATCCACCGACTAAGCTGGGCTCTTGTTAAGGACTTTTGTTTAAGTTACCAGAATAGGGATCTGTAGCAAATATATATATATATATATATATACATATATATATATATATATATATACGGTTTCCTTGTTGTGGTAACTTAACTTACCAGAGCCCACTAAGTTTAAGAGCAAACGTTCACACCAAGCCACTCGTCATCAGCTGGTAGCCCACCTGCAGTGTGGGGATGGGGATTCAGAATCAATTGCCTTGTTGGGGCTTTGGGCATTCCGAGCTTTAGCGCAGAGCCGCTAAGGAGCGATTCCGGTTGCCTTCATTTCTGCAGTTACATGGCCTGTGTTCTCCTAATGCTGGCACTGCCGCCATATAAAGCGACACCAGGTATCTGTAGCACATCGCAAAAAAGATGTGAGCCTGCCCTGCGGGGCAAGACATGCCTGGAGCGTTGTCGCATCTCTAAGGGGGCAAGGCTGTGAACCGACCGCCATGCTTCTATGGTTTGTGATTAAACTTTAGTTAGCATCGTTGTTCGCATTATTGTCATCTTTGTTGTTCTCCGAGGTTGCTGTGCCCAAGCCAGCTGCAATCAAGGCACAAATGGCAAGGAGGCAGCTGCAACGAGGTTGCAGAAGTACTGGAGGCCTAAGCGAAACGTTTGGTTGCACCTCGGGCCTAGGGTTGGAGGCTTCGGTATGAGGGGCCTGGAAGCAAATGCACCCCCGTGCCATGCAGTCTGTTCTCAAGCATTGAACACAAAAAAGCTCGTTGCACCGGTGTTTGCCGCGATCCGTCAAACAAACAACATGCTGGAAATATTCCTCTCCGATTACCCAAGCTGTCTTCAGCAACTTCCAGGGCAGGCTGGCTAAGCTATTCTGGGCTGGCTAATCGATTAGTCGCCGAAATCCCAAACTGTGAGATCAGAGTCTTACAGTATCGGTTGACCATCTCTGAGCCCAAGGGTCAGGGTATCACTTGATGCAGAGACATCAGGTACAGAACTTCAGCCATAAAAAAAATGCTATTTACACACTCCGCCCGGTGAACAGCAACACATAGGCTGATGGCCTTAATTACATCGCCAAAAATCAACTCGAGGACCCAGTAGCTTCAAGCTCGAGCCGAATGAGGCCACCGAGAAGCCGAGCAAAACTCGGGCAGTGCGGCTCGTCATCTTCCGGAGCAGTTGCCTGGCCACCTGATGACTGCCGATGCTTTCAGACTAGGCTTCACAAACGGAGTACACGGCTCGAGTTTCGATTTGATGGGGCAAGGCATGTAGGGGCCAAGTCTCAAGATGCCATACATATGGTCTCGTCTGTAGGCCCAGACTTTACATACTGGGATTCCTGTCTGGGCACATCTCATGCCGTACCACTCACCGGCCGAGGCTTCGACATGCAGTACAAACACAGCCGAACTTGAGTTTAGCGAACTGCGGAAGCAGCGTAGCCTCGTTTCGCAAAACTTGCGCTCCCCGTCTGCACCGACTGAAGCAAGGAAACGACTTCGCCATCATCTCAAACGCCCCTGCAAATTCAATGTCAAGACCTGCCTCCAGATGCAAAGCGTTGAGCTCCGCCTCCTCGGCGTCCTGTGGCTGCTTAATTACTTGGTGCTTGTCATGGGTCGAAGGTGCTTTCAACGATGCGAAGCCCCAGAAGCACTCGAATTAGCCCAGCATCCCTGCACCCTTTCTCGGTTCCCTGGGCCTCAGTGTGGCGCCGGCCCAGCAACCTGTTGCCGCAGCGTTCCACAAAGTCCTCTCACTGACATCGTTGCGCTTCGCGGAACAAACGCGCGAATCCGGAATCCGACCTTGAACATCCTTCAACCTGCCAATCGTTTAGGACGCTTACTGAGATAAAGCGTCACTCCTCATGACTTCAGGAAACAACCGTATGAGATTTGCTAGCACATCGTAACATAGCTGGAAAGAAAACGAAGGCATGCGTGTGTACGTGCGGGTGCGCATGCCGTACATACCTACCTACATGGGTACATATACCATGCCCACATACATACGTACGTACATACATACATACACACATACATAGATAGACATATACAGACCTATATACGTATATATACCTATACACCTCTATATATATATATACATATATATATATATATATATGTATATATATATATGTATATATATATATATATATATATATATATATCCATCTATCTATCTATCATCCCCCCTTGCAGCTCACGCCCGTCCAGAAGGTCCATCCCTGGGGCTCGGCCCTTGGACTTGATCAGGGCGGCGGGCTGCTGCTGCACCGGGGCCTGGCTGGCGCACTGACGGCGACCCTGATGGGAGCTGTTATAGGAACCCTCATAATACCCTTTATTGTAACCTTACCCTATGCTTCCAAGGACCTTATACTTAGGGACCTGGACCCCTTAAGGATCCGATAATAATGTCCCTGGAAGCCTAGGTTTATAGTAATTCTAGGGACCCTGAGAGTACCCTTTATAGTGACCTTATAGTAAGCTTCATAGGATCCCCTATAGTAGCTGAATGCACCTTTGACTCGCTGGCCTGGACCCAAGGCCCTCCGGCGGCCATGTTCCAGTGGCAGGTCGCCATGCGCTGGCGCCAGTCAGCGACCTCTGCCTGTGAGCCACAGCCACTTCTTGGGTGTCATGTAGGAGACGCAAATAAGTTCTAGTAGAGGAGTCTTAAACAACTCAGCCCTCAAATGAGAACAAAACTGAGCCCTCAACTAAACGCTGAAACCATTGCCCCAAATTGCCAAACCCCTTTCAACCCCTAGAACCCTGCACCCGTTGTCGGGCTCTTCATTAGCATCTTTAACACCCTAAACCTTCAAGCCCTGCTGCCCTAAACCCTATAAACCCTGAACCCTTACCGCCCTTTTTCCGGCCTTTGGTACCTGCACCGCAAACTCCACCTGCAGCGAAGGTGCCTGGTCCTCCTTGCTGGCACACAAGGAACTCTGCAAGACAAAAGAATACGGGGGTCCTCTCTACAAGCGCAACCTCAGGCTGTGTATTATACAATTTGATACGGCCTCGGGCCTCGGGGGTTTGGCAGCCTCGTATGTGTGGGGTTGAGGGTGTAGTATGTATTAGGGTTTGGGGATGTAGGCTTTGAGTTTGGCGTTTTGGGTCTTACGGCTCGATTTGGCGTTTAGGGCTTGAGGTTTGGGGCTTGCGCGGCTTGGGCTTGATAGGGCTTGGGTTTTGCGCTGTATTGGTTTGGGCCTTCCTGCTGGCTGCAGGCGAACCCGCACTGCAAGGTGGTAAGTATGGCTTTGGCAATGCACTGCGACACATGGAATTCGTCACACCACCTCTAGTGTTGAGGGCCTGGGCTTAAGCCTCGATTGAGGGTTCTAAGTTTTGGGATTTTAGACTTTATCTTATCTAGTAAAGCACCGAAATTCTTGGGGCTTTACTGGATTAAGTCAACACCTTGAGTCGCTTGAAATATGAAGCCACCAATAGTGGTCATACCTTGTAAACTTCTCTGAACCCTTTTCTTGGCATCTGGGCCTCCTTGATTAAACCCTAAACCTACCCATAGGCCCCATAGTAGTTCCTTTTCGGGGTCCAAGGGAGCAACCTACTTTGGGGCCTTAGGGTATACCCGGATCTCCTGCTGGGTCCAGGCCGCGAAGTGCTTGAGCCGAGGTGCCTCGATTTGAAGCCTCAGGCGGCAGGAATGCGCTAGTCCGGCCACTATCTGGCCGCTGGTGGCCATAAAGAGAACTCCAGAAAGTTGGAATATGGATTAATGGTAGGATCCCCTATAATTTACCTTAAAGGGGTTACGGTAATGATATTCCAACTTTCTGGCTTCTACTGTAAAAGATAGACGGGCAGCTTTGTGCATTTGTGCCTCTAGTTTCCTGGTTACGGGGAGAAAACACTTCCTGGTGCCATCGCGGTCACCTTTGCAGCTTTTGAAACCCTGCACTCTGTGAGCTTCTAATACCCTGCCCACTTGCAACTTCACCCCTCAGGGAATGATAGGTGGTCTGAGCGAACGCTTTGTACAGACTGTGCGATACACGCGATGACCTGCATCCGAAAACTGCGTGGCCCTCAACATCCCCCAACTCAGGTGTCCGGATTGGGCAAGATCCGCAAGTGACGGTACATCCAGGAACTTCGACGGGGTTTAGAGTGGAAAACTCTACACCCCGACCGCCCCGAAAGCAGCGAAGCCATCGTTGAGCAAATCGGCTGTTCCAGGACATTCTGGCGCAGGGCCGACGACCTTGGCTGTCTGCTTTTCGAGACTCCATGGTTTTGGCTTCGGGCCCCGAGTCGATCTCAAATCTTCCGTTTGGAGAGGTCTGTCTCTTCGCCATTTAGGGCCTGTTTCGAGTATTGCAGCTGCCAGATCTTGCATCCCGGCATTTCCTGAAGTGTATCTACACCTGAAGTCTATCTACACCTTCACCACTGAGGAGTCCTCAACCCAAGAAATTCCAACAGTCATGACAACCTTCAAAGAACCCGTGAATTGCAGAAACCTTGCAGAATCCTTCGAGAAACCTTCATAGAACCTCACAGAAGCCTCAAGACTCAAGACATCTAAAATCCCACCATTCCCGAATCCTCTTTCGAAGCTGAGGCACGTCGGAAATCTGATGGATGTCTGGCTCTGGCTGTCCAAGTCCTGGCCCAGGCTCGGGGTAAGCGAGGCCCCGAGCTTCCAATACCCTACCTCACTGGGCTTCATTATAAGGAGGGGTTATATGGGATATCCCTATCCTATGCATGACAAGTTCAAGCTCGAATTGAACCTTTTTCCGTCGCACAGCAGTCTGAAGAGTGGCTTAGGGCGTTTTTTTTTGAACCCTCTTTTCCGCGTGCCCGGTGAGGAGTTGGAACGCGATGCTGGCTGAGGGGTTGGTACGGGAGGACGAACAAGTAACAGCCAAACCTTACATGAACAGCCGTTAATACCCCTCGTCACTCCCAGCATCCAACCTTAGAGAGCCCTCGGAAGTCCGTCAGTCCATCCCCGAAACACTTCACCCCAGACCCTACACTTGGCTTAGGGTTTATGGTTCAGGATTTGGATTGCACACTTTAGCACCCTAATCCGACAGATAAACTCTACAACCCTCCGTTCCAAACACTAAAGCCCCCTCGCAACCCGAAGTCAAACCTTCCATCCTCAGACCCGAAAGCAGTGAATGGTAAGCCCATACATACAAACGACGGAGGGCTAGTACTAACATTAATACTCCATAGTCACCTAATATATGCACACATAGAGAGAGAGAGAGAGAGAGAGAGAGAGAGAGAGAGAGAGAGAGAGAGAGAGACAGAGCTTGCTAAAGCTATTGGGCCTTCGGGTCTTTGTCGGGTGGATCCTCTTCGCAGCGCTCTTCAGATGCCCCTGCCGGGGACTGCCGAGGTAGAGAAGCGGTTTCTCAACACAGGTGCATTTGGGAGTTTCCGAAAATAGGGGACCCTAATATAGCACCCCAAAATATGGTACCCCTTATGTTCGGAAACTCCCATGTGGATTCAAGTTGACGCTCTCGGGTTTCGGCGCTCACACTCGGACAAGCCAGGCGAGGCATGTGGTTCGAGGTCTGTTGAGCGAGACGTTCCATGGAGGATGACTTGCAAGCCAACAATCACAAACATACCAGAGTAACTTCAGTCTCGAAATTAGGGTTTAGGAGTTTTTGGCCTGCATCGTAATCTCCGGGCATCGGTTGATGATCTCGGCTGTGATGTGACCCTACTTATATGTATAGTTATGGTATAGTTTCCTGTAGGGATGTAGCGAGGGGCTTTAAATGCTGGACGTGTAGAGCTGGACGAACTGCAAATGCTGAGCAATCGCATCCTTGCGATGAGGACCTCTGAGTTTAGAGCTGCGTAGGGTTGCGCATGACACGGGAGTTCTGTCAGTGAGGGTTCTTCATGGCTCAATATTGTAGGCTACGAACTCAATAAACGACAGACCCAGTTCTGCGCAAGCACCGGCTTTTCAGGGGACATAAAAGAACTCAAGGACGCGCCATTGCCGATCATGACTGGTGTATATCAATTCTCAAGACACTCGCCTTCTCCGGGGCATCTTGTTGTTGTCATTCTCACCATTCCGATCTGTCGCTCTGAACCCAGCACGCCAGCCCAATCAAAGCACAACCGTTAACAGCTCAACTCAACCCTGCACCATAGCACCATAGCTGTGCCGCCGGCCTCTGAGTGAGAGCTCACATCCCTTCACGCTGACTTCCGAGGCCTCTGAGGAGAGTAAGAAATATGTTTAGGTTGAGAGGCCCAGGGTAAGGACACTCAGCATTCGAGCCTAGTGCGCTTAAAGGTTTACGCTTCTCGCAACTCGGGCTTGCAGACGAGGTCTCTCGGTGCGGGTCGGTTCTACTGCCGGTTTAAGGATTGCATCAGGTATTGAAGGGGCCGGCAGGCCTCCTTGTTAAAGGCATCACCAGCTAGCAGGGAGCTGCCATTTGGGGTTTCTGGGCTCAAATCGGCGCGCGTCTGTTGAGGTGTTTTGGCTGCTTCGACGTGCTTGTTGTTTTGATGCTGGGCCTCGGATGCTTCTGGCAGCTGGCTGGACACTGCAGGCGACGCAACTGACTGGGAAGTACCGAAACCAGGCTCCACCACATATATATCACACCAGGCATCGAAGCTAGTTGACAACGGCATAGGAATACACCTTGAAGACACGGCGCACTTTGCTCGATGTCGGCAGCGGGAGGCTTCTCGTCCTTCTCCAGTCTCCCCTGGGCTTCAAAAAGATTTTGGTGAACTTGTTCTGAACAACTTACCCGGAAGACTCTTCAGAACACAGGAAGCGAGAAGTCCAAGTATGCAAACTCAAAACAGCTTCATCAGTACAAGTAGCTGACTTAACAGGAGCCTTTCAAGCCTTTACATCTCAAAGAACTTCTTCAATAATCCAGCTGCGGGTATGTCCGGCTCGTCTTCGCCGAGGACGATTTCCATTCCAGCCTCGCCCTCCCCCATGACGTCAGCCTGCCGAAGGTGTCGGGGCTGGCGGTTGAGGGCTCTCTGGCTCTGGCGGCAGCAATACCTAGTCTCGGTGCTACAGATGCTTAGCCACCATTGCAGCACAAGAAAAGAGTGCGAGGTTTTGGGGCTTTAGGCTGAGAGCTTGAACCTGATCCCTTGAGATTCGCTTCATTACAACCTACTGTAGCCGCTTTGTCGGGCACATGGGAAGAATGGCTACTTTGTCTCCAACTTCGCAACGACGTGAAAGCCTGGCAGGGTTTGAGAAGTGGCTGCTTGCCTCCTGCGGGTTTTGGGTGCAAAACTTGCCGACTTCTTCGCAGCCTCTTTCAGAGCTTCCCCCACGTCGGGAGCCCCCAGCGGGCTGCGGCTGGCCTTCACGAGGCGCCATGATGGTTTTGGACGAGTTTCGGGTCGGGTCGTGTCGGAAAAAACTCCGTAATGTGACAGGGTTCCGGTTCACCGGGCCTGGCCTGGCCTAGGTCTATCCGCTGCACGCAATAGCAAGTTGGATCATGAAGCCGATCCCTTCAACCGCTGGTCCTGCATTTTGAACGACCTTCAGAAAACTGCCCCCAGGTAGCCTGGTGAGAGACAGGTGGAAGTCGCGCTTCCTCTGCTTCGCCCACCTTGTGGAAGATGAGAGGCAAGATCATCACATCTTGCCTTTTACACTCTATATATATATATATGCAACTATGCGCACGTAAGGCCGCATGCGATGCCATAGTGTGAGTGTGTGTGTGTGTGTGTGTGTGTGTTGGTTTTGTGTGTGTGTGTGTTGGTTGTGTGTGTGTGTGTGTGGGTGTGTGTGTGTGTGTGTTGGTTGTGTGTGTGTGTGTGTGTTGGTTGTGTGCGTGTATGTGTTGTGTGCGTGCGCTTGTGTGTGCTTGTGTGTGCCTGTGTGTGCTTGTTTGTATGTGTTGTATGCGTGTGCTTGTGTGTGCTTGTGTGTGTTTGTGTGTGTGTGTGTGTATTGCTCTAGTGCATGAGATAAGGGGCACACCACCCATCTTTCTGCAGGGGCGGAGGGGGTGGAGGGGAGCTCCGTCCAAGCAGATGGGCCCCGTCGTGGGCAGCTGGCAGGGCACTCATCTTCGTTCATCCTTCATCTCATTTCATGCTTCGTGGTTCCTTTGTGTCTGGTGTAGCGGCGTAGCAAGGGGCAGATTACTTACGCACATGCATGCATCTGCGTGGTTGCGTACATATATCCATGCGGGCATACAGCAACACTGACGGCCAAAGACGGAGAGACAGACAGACAAACAAACAGACGTGCGTACACACATAATATGTTCGTACATACGTACAGAAGGCAACGAACACATACAATGCTATGTCTATGTACCATACATAGTGTTTCGGCCGCAGCCCTCACTGCAGAGCCGGCCTCGGCCGCATCCACCGATTCCACGGGGGCTTCCACCACCCGTGACCGCTTGGCGCTCCGCGAGCTAGTGGAGGACTGGATCGGCAGCAATGTTCAAAAATCAGCTTCATGCACACTTCTCACTGGTTTTATCCGCGGCTGCGGTACCCTGTGTAGCACGTCCTATCAAGTCGCTATCCTTCGTGGGAAAAAAGGCGGTGAAAGGTTTCTTTTGCGATGCTGACTGCCATTGCACGGGCACTGAGCCACTGAGCAAGTTCCGCGCGTGGAATCGTCGAAGCAGTAGTCAGTAACACTAGCCGCGGCAGTCGCAGTAGACTCAGTAGAACCAGTGGTGGTGGTGGTGGTGGTGGTGGTGGTGGTGGTGGTGGTGGTGGTGGTGGTGGTGGTGGTGGTGGTGGTGGTGGTGGTGGTGGTGGTGGTGGGGGTGGCGGTGGCGGCGGCGGCGGCGGCGGGGGTGGTGGTGGTGGTGGTGGCGGCGGCGGCTGTGGTGGTGGTGGCGGTGGTGGCGGCGGGGATGTTGGTGGTGGTGGCGGTGTTGGTGGCGGCGGGGCTGCTGGTGGTGGTGGCGGTGGTGCTGGTGGTGGTGCTGGTGGTGGTGGTACTGGTAGGAACTGGCACTGGTCATAGTGGCGGTAAGTCTACAAGCAGCATCAGCAGCAGGACTTCCGATCGCTGCAGTGGGTCGTCGTCTTCGCCCTCATCGCAATTGCAGTATGAAGATCGAAGTCACAAGCCTCCACCACACCGACAGCATCAGCAGAACACGTGACTTTATCTTAGTTTGAATAATTGTCCGCTTTAGCACTAAAGGAAACCCACAAACCTCAACCCCGAAACTCTAAACCCTGGCCCCGGAACTCCATAAACCCTCAACCAACAGTCCTGGCTGGGTAGGCAGGGAAGATCTGGGACGTCGCCGGCGGCTGAGCTGCTAAGACCTTCATGTAGCACTTGCATGCACTTTAGGATTTTCGGTTTCGGGTTTACTATGTTACTATAACTGCCCGGCCTCGGCTTGAATTTTTCAGGCTGCGCTTTCTACAAAAGCCTGCCTGGGCCAGTGCGTGTCGCCGTCCACATCTTGGGAAGTCTGATGACGAAACTGCACTCCACCAGCACCTGCACTCCTTGGCTCCGGAGCATCACAGGCCATGAAGAGCGAACGAAGATAAGCAAGAGCAAAGTGCGGCTTCATCAATGCTCAGAACTTTCCGGATCGAGAGTGGGCTCCCGAACCTCGCAGGTGCCCTCAGACTGTTTGGAATCTAAAACCGAAACAGGTTGTGCATGTATCGATCATGCGTTTCTGAGCAAAGACCTCGACATGGATCCGTAATACTCGACCCAATTTCAGCTCCCGCCCTGCGGCTAGGAGACGCCGTTTGGCGGTCGATGACAAGACTTCAAAACCATCCCAAATCTTGCTGCTTGCCATTTAGAAAGGTTCCGAAAACACCAAGTACACCCGGCAGCCCCAATTCTGGGCAAGGAACTGCAATAGCCGATGAGTTCGGTGATGAGACCCAGCAAAACCTTAGGATAAGAGACTCTACTACTACTACTACTACTACTACGACTACGACTACGACTACGACTACGACTACGACTACTTCTACTACTACTACTACTACTACTACTACTACTACTACTGCTACTGCTACTGCTACTGCTACTGCTACTGCTACTGCTACTGCTGCTGCTACTGCTACTACTACTACTGTAGAGTCTCAACTTTGGGGCTGAGCCTTTCTTTCTCGGGATGGTTCTCAAGGCGATGCTCTGTTTGACCGAGCTAACATGAACAAACGAGGAGACACAGTGCTTGCAAATACGCATAGAACTAGTCGAAGGGAATAAATACATGTAACTACATGTGTATGTGCATATATATATATATATATGTATATATACATATATGTTTATACATATATGTACACATGCCTATGCATCGCATAATGTGCATGTACGCATGCATGTGTGCATGTATGGGGCTTCCCACGGGCTTCCCACCGTTTGCCAGCCAGCTGGCGGGGCTCGGCTGCTACTTGGCGCGAGTCCGTTCTTGAGACCACCATGTCTTGCCATGTCTGTATGTATGTGTGACTGTATGTATGTGCATGTGCGCTTGTGTGGCCGCACAGTGTTGCTTATATCTCTATCTCTATATCTGTATGTATACGCACATGAATATGAGACGTACAGGCAGACGTATATGTGCATGTGTATGCCTGTACATATGTATGCATATATATATATATATATATATATATATAGATATACACATCATGCATACATGCATACGTACATACCTAGGTACGTATGTATCGGTGTAAGCATGCACATACGCGCATATGTAGAGATAGCATGAGGCTCCCGACCCCGCATAGTTGGCCGTGTGAAGACTATCTTCAGTCTCCTCTGGTCTGTGATTCAAGTGGACAGGACCAACGAGCCTGACTTCAGGAAAACGCCATGGCACTTATGCTCATGCAGACACATGTATGGCTGCATAGATGTATGGATGGACGTTTGGATGCATGTATGTATGCATGCATGCAGGTATGTATGTATGTATGTATGCCAGCCTCTCTCTTTCTCTCTCTCCCTCTCTCTGTCTGTCTCTCTCTCTCTCTCTCTCTCTCTCTCTCTCTCTCTCTCTCTATCTAACTATCTATCTATCTATCTATCTCTCTCTCTCTGCATGCCAGCATGTGTGTGTGTGTGTGTATGTATGTGTATATATATACACACATATACATATGTACATGTTTGCATATGTGTGTACATATATGTAACATGCATTTATGTATGTATGCGTGCATATATATATGTATGTATGCGTCTCCGTGTGCGAATATTTGTATCTCCGTGCCCTTGTCTCTGCTGTTGCACCAAAAGGATCTACCAGCATACATCTATATGTAATGTATACCTAGTTGTTCATTTCTTTATGCGTGTCTTGGTTTGTCTAGTCATGTATATGTGTTTCGCTGCCTGCAAACACTTCGTCATCAACCTCGGCCGCAAGCCGTTCTGGGATCCGAGCTGTTGCGCTCACCACCAAACTGAGGGCCAGCAGGAAGTACGGGAGCCTGGGCTACTTTGGACAGGTAGGCATACATGGTTCCAGGGTTTGAGTGGACAGGGCGATGCATTACGTGGCACAGTGGGGCTTATTGGGCTGAGGGTTTGGAGGATGAAGAATGTAGCAAGGCTTAGGGCTTTAAGGATATGGGGGCGTTGAGGGCTCTCGGTGGGGAGCTTAGGCCTTTATCCGGTTCGGAATTCGGTCGGCGGCTTCCATGTCAAGGGGGCGAGGATTCAGATATGCATAATCCCAGCATCGACTGGCGTGGGCATGGATGCATCCTTTTTCCCGGGCCTGCGCGGTGCACTCATGTGCTCTCACACATAAGATCGGCCCGTCCTAAATGAACGACAATGGTAACGCTGCGTCAGCCCCGACTCTGAAGCACACAAAGAAGCAAGTCCCTCCGAGCTTCAAAGATTCAAAAGCAAGAACTCAGGCCGCATCCCGAAACTCCTAAACCCCCATTTAAGCGCTTGCTACTGGAGTGGGGGCTTCCGAAAAAAAGGGGACCCTATAGTATAATAGTACCCTAAATACTTGGATCCTTATTATAAAGGACCCCAAAATAAGGTCCCCCCTCATTTTCGGAAACTCTCGAGTCAAATCCTAAATCCCTTTTCGGACTCTTGAAAACCCCAAAACCCCTGTCCCCCTCAACCCGAGCTCGCAGCGTATTCGGGGCGCAGCCGAATCCTCCAGCAAGGGCATGTAGCAGGAATTTTCTGGGGCATCTATGGCTTAATGCACCCTTGTCCTTTTAGAAATAATAGACAGAGCCCTGTACCTATATATATCCCTATTTAAGAAGGTCGACTAGCCGGTCTGTTTATTCTTTTGGGGGAAACCATGAAAAGGGACAAGGCTGGCTTAATGGAACTGGGGGTTGATACCCAAATTTGGGAGCTCCGTATGACGAACAGTTTGCAAAATTCCCGGACAGCCCGGCCTCTTACGGATCGTAAATTCACAAGTTCGACAAGAAAGGTCATCTTATCATACCTTATTGCTTGCAGGGCTGACCCAGAAAGACATTCTCGAACACTAGGCGGCACCTCCCTTGCCTCAGTGCAACAGGCCCTCCCTGTAACCTACTTTGGACAAAAGACTGTCTTTTTACCGGCCTTCGAAGGTAACTTCGGCGCGGTCTGCACAAACCTGCGCACAACATGCTCGCACGAGCGCGAAGACTTGGAAAGTTTCGGATCAAGGCTTCCGAAACGACTGTGCCATGAACGTCTTTCTATCCAGCAAGATAGCCGCCCGAAGCACCAAGGCAGCAGCTCATCGGGGTTTAAATGCACCTCCAAGAACCAAAGCACAATCGGAAAGAGACCTTCATCCCGAATAATAAAATGAGGGCATGGCACGGAAAAGATCATCCACGGGATCGCTGCAAGCGAAGAGAAACAAAGCCAGGAGAACAGAATGACGGAGCCCCTTACCTGAAAACCGTATCCTAGCCCTAAGCCCGGAGCAAAACCTGCGAAACCCAGAGATCGGAAAACCCCCACCTGCCGGCCATAGTAGCTAGAAACCTCCGCTTGCACCACCAGCGAGTCTCCGGTCCCAAAGTTGGGCTGACCAGCGAGAGGGACGGAGGTGTATAATGCAGGGGCCCGTATAATTGGGATAGGGTTTGAGGGCCGATTATACGATAGTTATAGTTTTTACTAAGGAACAACAAACCCCAAAATAGTATTAGTATTTATTTAGGCTCTACATTAGCTTCTTTGTAGAAACGCTGTGTGTGATGCAAATATTCTTGCTTCCTCTATGCACTTCTAGCCATCAGTTTGCACTAGCTTATTTTTTAGTAGCCGTCTGTCTACTACACGTTTCACACACGCATGAAACATATCTACCCACGAACCTTTCAACCTTGGGGCCAGACTACCTGACTACCTGTTACCCCAAGGGAACACTCCAACACACTCCCTCCGACGATTCGTCGATGAAGACAGCTCCGAAACCTAAGACCGCAAAGCCTTGCAGCCCAAACCCTTAAACCGTACTTCAGGGTCGATGCATACTGCAAGAGGTGTTTGCACATGGGACTGGGATGTGCGCTGAAAAATTCCTCGTGGTTCGCAAATGCTATGAGCCTCTATGAGCCTCTTGGGCCCAAGAGGATCCAGTGGCAACTTCGTTCAACTGGAGGCCTTGACGCTGGGGGTTACACTCTCCTACCTAAAGCTCTCCAGGAGCCTTGCCGCCAGTGACGACCAGGAGACTGCAGTGAGCCTGCAGGAGCCCGCCACTTCCACTCTGCTTGGGGCTGGGGCGTGTTGTGGCTAACTGTTTCAGCATGACAGCAACGGCAGCCGCTGTAGCAGCAAAACAACTTCAAACAGCAAGCAATGCGTCCAAAGCTCACCACCACCAACAACAACCAGAAAAACCACCACCGCAGAAGCTATAGCGATGACAACTAGCACAGCTACGACAACCACCAATCAACAACCAATAGCTACGACAGCATAAACTACAGCCGCCAAAAGGACGAAGAGTCGCAGGAGACACAAAACGCGACATAAACCAACATGAAGCCGCAGCTACGGGCCCGTAGCAGCTGAACCAGTACCAACACCCAGTGGCCTCGACCTGGCCCTAAACTCTTTAAGGGCCCGAATTAAGCCCTAAACCCAACTCCCATCACGCAGAAAACCACGCTCAAGCCAAAATCCAATATCAAAAACCAAAGTCATATTGGGCTCAAAAAGGGGCCATTATATAGGGGATTTTTTTCCCCAAACCCAGAACCAAAAACAAAACGGCACCAGATCCGCTCACGCCTGGTCCTCCGATCGACACGCGATGTCCAGGCAACTGAAGACTCCTTTGCTACTTGGGAGTTTCCAAACATAGGGGACCCTAATATAGTACCCAAAATAATAGGATCCTTACTATAAGGACCCCAAAATAAGGTACCCCTAATTTTCGGAAACTCCCAGTTCGACAAGGACATACCCGTACGTATGACTTGGGATGTAAGTTTGCGGCCTGCGGTTGAAGGTCATTTCTTTGGGTCCGTACGGCCTCTGTATGGGTTTAGAGTTCAGGGTCAGAGTTCATATCTTAAGCGCCTGTTTGGTTACTATTTTATAGGTCTCTATTTACCCTTCCATACCTATGGGTTCGGTAAGCGTTCTACCACGGTTCCATCGGGGTTTCGGTTTTCGGACTCGGTAAGGGGCGGGCTTCTTTTCAGGTCTTATGGTTTTGGGCGCCCAAGACGCAACTATCGAGCTTATGGGTTCAGTATATAGGGGTCTTAGTGATGAGATTAGGATTTTGGGGTATACAGTAATACACTTCCAATACGCGGAACCCTGGCGAATACCCTCAGAAATTCTTCAAGCTTCCATACGAGGGGTCTCATGGTGTCAACCCTCAGACTAACACCAGGCAGGCAGACTGCTAGAGACTGGGAGCTGAATATTTGAAGAGCTGAGGGGGCTCTTTGAGTGGCAAAGAAGGGGCTTGGGGTTTAGGGCTAAGCGTCTCCATAAGGAACCCGCGCTTTTTGGTGTGTTCAACACCCCAAGGCCTGGTTTGGCGGTTTCCGGTTTGGTTTCTTGAGGGGGTGGGGTAGAGGGGGGGGGGGGGGGGGGGGGGGGGGGGCAATTACGTACATTGGAAACGCGTCAAGACAACCACGAAGTCACTGACAAGCCCAAACCCTTAAACGCCACATGAGAGCACTGCTCCTCATGCTGGGTCGCTTCCTGAAGCAGAATCGCTTCAGAAACTTATGAAATCGACGGGGCAACTAACTTTCGACGCAGGAAAACAGTCCGAAATACTGCGCCTGTCAGCAATTTGCGCGGGTGCGCTGTGGAAGCGCTAGGGTTTAGGGCTTGCAGTAGGGTGTTCATGGAAGGAGTGTCTTGATGGGATCAGCTCAGGGTTCTAGGACATCCGCCAGCTAAAGAGGCTTGACTGGACTTGCAACTGCCGGGCGGTTTAACCTTTGAGGGTGCTTGGAGCAGAGGAGGCTCGTACCGATTGAATTCAATCAAGTCCTATAAATGAACGTGCTGGCAATGATGCGGTCGGCAAAATTGAATGTACATCAAAGAGCTTGCTATGGTAACAACACCTTGTAGGCAAAATTAGCCGACAAAGCGGGCAAAATCAAAATGCACAGCAGCGCTAATTAATCAGCATCGTCGCAAAACCTTGACGCAGTCGGTAACCTTTCGTATCGTCTATACACCAGTTGATGGCGCCTTGCAACCAGCTTACATCTGCTACACTGCTACACGAGTTACCCGAAACAGTATACGTCTGCTCCGAGCCAGAAGCAGAGTGAAAAACCAAAGCCGAAATCCAAAAACCCTGTAACAAACCCCTGACACCCTCAACCCTGAACTCTACATATAACTGTACTATAACAAACCCTTGTGAACCTGCAAAGGCCCTGCTAAAAGCGCATCGCACCCTTTTGGGAAGCCACCAAAGAACCTGTTCTAATTCCTAAGCCTATTTTTTTGAGCAGGGACTGCGAATCTAGAATCCTATGCCGCAATCCTGCTTTTTCACTCCCAAGAAGCCACTTTGTCCCAAGGTGGCGAGGCTCACGGCACCCCAAGTGATGTTCTTGCCTGGGTTGAGGGACTGGGACTCAGCGGATTTGGGATGAAGACCCGGGATTTAGGTTGTAAGTCTTATAGGATAACAGATGGATACAAAAATATGCGCGAGGACGCATCGCGGACATGAGCTTCTGAGGAACAATGGTTTCAGTCGGGCTTTATACCGGTCTTGTGAGTCATTCGAAAAACGCATTTTCTGGGCGGAATGAATGCCTCGGCCTGCAGTCCTCGCAGGGATTACTTCACAGCTGTGAGGTTGCTTGACCAAAACAATGAAAGCTCCTAAAACCACTACAGTCACTACAACCACCACTACCACCACCACCACCACCACCACCACCACCACCACCACCACCACCACAACCACCACCACCACCACCACCACCACCACCACCACCACCACCACCACCACCACCACCACCACCACCACCACCACCACCACAATTTCAGGTTTGCGTCTGTAGGCACTTTGCTTTTGGAGTTTTAGGCAGGCTTGCAGGGCTTTAGAAGAACTTGGGGTTTACGAGCCTTAGGAGCCTCGAATATAACGTATCCACTGGCATAACGCAGGCAGAGCTGCGGGGTAAGAAGCCTAGTCAGCACCTACGGCCACCTCAGGCTCCAGGGTTTGGGCCTCTGAAGGCGTGGAGCTGCAACTGTTTGTGCTTCTGGACCCTATGGCTGGTGATGCCACATGAGTCAGCTTGCAATCCCGAGCTGCGCGAGCCCTTTTGACCCACATGCCTGACCTCGTCGAAGGTGCAACACAGAAACGACGGTGCAGGAGTCTAATGGCACATTACCGAAAATTTTCCCAAGCTGATGCTCTTCAGTTTGGGAAGGTGCACGTCCCTGTCCAGTGGCACCTTATTATCACAAGAAGAGCCGTAGAAGGTTAAAGTCTCCAGGCTCTCAGGCAAGTCATTCTGACTGAAGTGCTGCCTGAAGCGCGATCCGAAAGTCAACGATCCGAAGGTCAATGTCTCCAGGCTCTGAGGAAGCACTCCTTCAATCAAGTGCTGGTTGAAGTCGTCCCCGAACGTCAGGTGCTTGAGCGTCTTGGGGAGCATCCCGGGCTGCAAGGGACGATTAAAATTGCGCCCCATATCCAGTGTCTCCAGGCCCTTCGGCAAGAAGTGTGGGTCCAAGGGCTGGTCGCAGTGCCGAAGCCTCAGCTGCTTGAGACCCTTCGGCAAGGTCACTTGGCGCTGCCACACTCCATCGAACCGCCAGAGGGACAAAGTCTCGAGGCCCTTCGGCAGCACGCCCTTCGCCAGGGGCTGCGCCTGTGAAAGGCAAAGGCTCGTCAGCGTACTGGGCAGCGCTCCATGCTTCAACGGCTTCTTGAAGCTCATGCCCAAGGTCAAAGTCTTCAGACCTTCTGGCAGAACGCCTGGCTCCAAAGGCTGATTGAAGCTGGGGCCGAAAGTCAGGTGCTTCAGCCCGTTCGGCAGCTCCCCAGCGTTCACAGAGCAGTTGAAGACAGAGCAGTTGAAGTTGCCTTGATCGAATGACAGGGTCTCAAGACCTTCTGGTAGAACGTTTTGCTGCAGGGGCTGGTTGAAGCATCTGCCAAACCTCAGCTGTTTGAGCCCTTTCGGCAACACCCCGGTATCCAGCAAGGAATTGAAGTTCCAGCCGAAGGTCAGGCACACCAGCCTTTGGGGCAGCACCCCTCGGCGCAAGGTAGAGTTGAAGTTATGTCCGAAGCACAAAGTCTCAAGGCTTTCAGGGAGAGCTCCCTCTTCCAGAACCTGGTTGAAGCTGAGAGGAAGGGTCAGCGAGCGTAGTCTCGTCAGTGACAGCCGCTGTTTCAAGCCTCCTTTGAAAGCACCGTTATTCCCTCTGAACTTTTCCGCGTTGAATGCAAGGACCTCCAAGTTTGCTGGCAAGTTCTCGGCGGCAACTAACGCGAAGTTGTCTAGGGTGAGGCTGTGGAGCTGGTTGGGCAAGTCGCTGGCTTCGAACTTGTTGATGGATTTTTTGTGCGTGGCATGCTTTGCTGCCCCAAGGCTCAAGTGACGAATGCTTGTAGGCAGCTGCAGCGCCTTGAACTGTCCCACGAAGACCTTCAGGTCCAGGGTTCTCAGCGCTTTCGGCCACCGCGTGACCTCCGCGTTGAGGTACGAAATCTGCAAGCTGTTGAGGCAGTCTGGCAGTGTCAGTGAGCCCGTCACTGACTGCAAGCGAAGCTCAAGAAGCTGATCCAGCTTCGACAACTCCAGGTCGCCCTGCAGCGGGGTGTCCAGTCTGAGTTTCTGCAAGGTCCGAGGAAACTTTTCAAGGTCGCGGCTCAGCTCTGGCGGCGCTGCCAGCGGCCGGCATGAAAAGCGGTTGGACAGCGTCAGAATTTGCAGCTTTGGAGGAAGGTCGACCAAGCTCGGGATCTCGCCTTGTCCTGAAATCTCCAGCTGCTGCAGTTCTTCTGGCCACCACTTCCAGTTGTGGAGGTTGTCCACGGTCTCGATTCTCAGGCGACGGATTCGGTGAAGCGTGCGCAAATTGGGAATCGCCTTGTCGCTCACCGTATCCTTAAGCAGGTACCAGGGCACCGTCAGATCAACGACGCTCTCGGCCAAAAGGCTCAAACGCTCCTTGAATCCGATGACAACTTCGTTCACACCATAAACAGCCTTCCTGACGCGAGCATCTGGCCCGGCTTCTTCGCCGCGCAAAGCCCTCAGGGCGAGGGGGAGATTGGCTGGCAGTCGCCTCCAGTCTACCACGCTGCCGCTTTCAACTCCTTGGTCACGTAGCGTTCTGATGGGATCAAGGACAGCATTGCCGGCTATGATCTCGAAAGGGTTTCCGGGCCGGAGCCTGTCAATCTCCTCCAAGAGGTCCTGACCAGTCGCCGAGTCAGCAATCACGATCTCTTCGATGACACTGTCTCCTGTCAGAAGATTCTTCACGCCGAGACGGAGCAGCGCCTCTTCCATGGCAGCTTCGCCACGGGTCCTTCACTCGTGGTTTCTTTGGGCCGGCTCTGCGAATGAGACTCCTGCACATGCCGTGCTCTGACCGCAAACATGAACACCTGCAAAGCATCGATTCTACGATCTCAAGGGACTAGCACCAGCAGCAGCAACCGCAGCAGCACCAGCACCAGCAGCACCAGAACCAGCACCAACACCACCTGTTGCGGCCGCGGTTCTTCCTGATGCTCAGGGAGGAGGAGGGGGCATTAACGATGAAATTATGTTGGGGTTGTTCCAGAGGATCCGCTGTGAAGGTATAAACATACTCGCCTTAAAAGATTCGGTTCACTGTTATAGCCATGGCAATGCAACCTGGCCGCCATTTGCTGGGATGAGCGTGGGCTGGCCTTGCACGCTGTTGCAGCCATCCAGCTGCGGCAGATGGTAGACTTCCTTGCGCTGTGCACTCAGCAATTTTGTATGTCTGTGGGGCCGTCGCCTCGTATTGCCTTCATAAGGCCTTCGAACCATACCACAAGATCGTGAAGTGAACAAGGCTGAACCTCGTGTTTGCCAGGGCCAGTTCTTGCGATTGTTGAGCTGCACTGGACCTGGATTCTGCTCAGCAAGACGTATGTTAATCCGAGCCTCCACTATGCCGAGCTCTGAAGCCGTGCATACAATACAAAACGATCTTCAGCCGCACATCCTCAACCCCACAAGAACAAGGCATTCTCCCCGAGCCCCTCCAGGAGGCCGGGAGTCGTCTTTGCTCTTCCCTGGTGCCAGGGACAATGATCCAGAGGTCCACATGAAAGGGCCGGAGCCTGAACTCCAGGCCGCGGCAAATGTAACAACGTTGCTGCAGGGCTTCGGGGTTTGGGGCCGTACCAGTGCGAATGCTTGCACGATGAGTTGTGAATTGTCACAACACGGGTCTGGAGATTGGGGGGCACATAACTCAGCGACGAGACACTCAATCAACAGCTTGTTTAAGTTAAGGGTTTGGTGCCCCGAACAGTCGTCGGAAGTGGAACCTTCTTCAAAAACCCGCACCTTGGTACCAGGCACTTCTGAGATTGGTGCTTGGGGGAGTTTCGGCGCTCAACAGTATCTCCACTCGTTCGGTCGCATGTGCTTACAGACAGAGAAACCGACGCAAACAACCAGACGTGACTAAAGCTGCTGGGAAAAAACGAGTAGCCTCACTGTCAGCGTAAGCAGCACATACTTTTGGGACATTCTCTGGTGAGTTTAGGGCTTCGGGGTCTGATAACATCGAATCCTAGACCCCAAACCCCTGAAGCCTACAGAAGCCCCGTGGAAAGAGCGTCTGAGATGCTTGGACAGCAGGCAAGAGCTCCCAAAGGCGTATTGGAGAGCGCCTTCGCATTGCATTCAAGGGGATTTAAGATTCAGGGTTTGGTGCTAAGTATGGTTTGAGGTGTAGGGTTTGGGAATTATAGAGCTTTGCGTTTCGGGTTCAGGGTTCAGCGTTTGGCCCAAGTTCCAGATCCTTGAGGTCTTGTGAGGCATGCTGCCGTCAAATATTTCCCATGTTGGTTTCCGATGTCTGGTGGCGGATCTGGGGCTTCGGTTTGGGGTTTGGGGTTGGGTTATAGGGTCTATGACCATGAGTCATGCGGCTTGTATCATGTGATGTCTCAGGCGGCTTCTAAGCTGGCTTGAACATGTACTTGGACAATCTCATAATCCGCCGAGCCCGGAGGCCGTAGACGTTTAGATCGGGAGGCCCGAGCAGGTTGGCTGGCTAACAGTAGAGTATAACCCACCCCCTACCCCCTCCCAGTGGCCTGATTCGGGGGGGGGGGTTCGGTCGGCTCTAGGGTTTCGTTTCTTCTTCAGGAAGGGTGGGGGGGTTCGGGGGGTTTCTCGGAGGCTGGAATCCGTGGCCTTGGGTCAATAATGCACGGAAGGGGATTTGAGAGGGGAGCCAGGGGGGCGGGGAGGAGGGGACGGGAGCCCAGCTTGCTTCCACTCCCAGCCTCGACTACCGTTGCCGAGGCCGCCTCGCGTTAGCGATAAAATGACACACCGAACGACATGTCAACAACCATGAGCAACACCTGCTAAAAAACAGACAGAGAGATAGAGAGAGAGAGAGAGAGAGAGAGAGAGCGAGAGAGTTCAGCCTAAGAAAGCCCTTTTGGAGAGAGACTCTTAGCCTGCCCTGCCCAAGAAAACCTACATCTCATGTCAGCAACATTGAGGCTGGTGGCTGGGCATTCCTCGCAACCGCCTTGGCCGGGCAGTCGTGTCACGGAGCCAGGAGAACAAACCTGTGCCAGTCGCACACTTTGCTCTTGGCAGCGGGCATTCATAGCACTGTGGTGGCGTTGTTGGTGGCGGTAGTGCTGGTAGCAGACTCTGATTATTCTGCTGCTGCGACATGGGCGGTCGTTCAAAGGTGCTGGCACGGGTGGTGTTTGGGTTTTGGCTTGGCGGCGGCTTCGTATCTCAATCGTAGGAACAAGGAGGGGTGCCTAATTTCTTCTGGGTTGTCGACGGCGGCTACTGCCTATGCGGACGCAACTACCTTCATGAATACCGCTACAGCACTCGGTGTTCCCTAATTGCAAGATGCACACCTCAAAGGTGCTGCAAAGATGTAAGAAGCCAATGATTACATTGAATACAGTTTTCGAGACCGCCTGAGACCCGCAGGATATTGGATCTTCTTCGCTCTGACAGACGTGGGAGTTTCCGAAAATAGGGGACCCTAATATGGTACCCAAATAGTATTATCCTTATTATAAGGCCCCCTAAATAAGGTACCCCTCTTTTCGGAAACTCCCACATGTCTACAGCCGCCTCACAGCTGGAGAGCCCGGGATCTGCACCGAAGGTTCCCGCAGGGCAGCTCACGCAATCCGATGCTGCCTGGCAAAATGCTTCAGTCAGGATTGGAAAATAAAGGAGCCTTAATCAGTAGCCCCCAAAATAGTATTGGTAATTATTTCGGCCCCTACATCATAGAACCCTAGTATAGATCCCTTATAGACTCCTTTCAAAGGAGCCCTTTAAAGGAACCTAGTGCGGCCTGAAGTTTACGGGCTTGCATGTTCTCGTCTCTAGCTCGGGTCTCTACATCCAGAGCAGCCTTCAGGAGATGCCAAGAAACTCTACTATCGGAACCTTCGTAGTGGTTTTGTGATATTGCTAAGGCATGACAGCTCCAACTAATCAGAATAGGATGTTGGGTTACCTTCTAGTATAATGCGACAAAGGGACTAGATGTGGCTGTTCCGACGCCCGAATACTACCCGGATGAGCGAAACGAAGGGCTGCGAGCTCTCTGGAACTCTAAGGGCTTGAGCTTCAATTATTAGAACTATCTTTCAAATCCTCATTTAGGATCCGCATAATCAGGACAGGCTTTTCAGGGACCCCTCTTTTGCGAAGTGCACGGGATCTTCCAGAAAGCGGGTGTTTGGAAACATCGATCCTACGTGACAGATCCATGCACGCATGCAGCAGGAATACTCGGACTTCCGTGGCGAGCATGGCGACATTGCTCGGTTGCAGTGGAAGTCAACACCGTAGAAGCCCGGCAAGACTTCCAAATATCCGAAACCCCGAAACTCCGAGCTCCTTTTCAGGAATTTTACGAGCAGAACAAACACTATCATTGCAACAAGGAGCCTTAACAGATGCAGTAGCATTATATGCCACAGCAGTTGCTCCTTCCATATTATTAGTGGTTGCTGGGCAATCTATAGGCGCCTTTTTAATTAGAATAGGGTTTGGTGGTTTAGTATGTTAAACTTATAACTCAGGAACCCCCAAAACTAGTACAATAGGTAATTATTGAGGCCACTGTAGTATCTCGAAATGCATGGAGGCCCAGTGGCTGTGCCGCCCTCCTGGTTGAGGAACTTGCCAATGGGACAGCTCTTGCCTTTGAGGCACCATGGAAAGCAGTCATATTAACGGTCTTCCAGACTTTTAATCGGGTTGCGGCTTTTAGGATTCTATATTATCCCCAAGGGTCCAAGGGACCCAACAGTTAGGTATTCGGTTTTAGGATTGTAGTTAGGTCGGTTAGGATTTTGGAGAGTATATGATTATTGGGTACTTGGACCCTTGGGGTTATTCTATATGATCAGGAAACCGCAGGAATGGTATCAGTAACTACTCAGGCCTTCGATGCTACACTTGTGTCGCCTCTCCGTTCAGGGCTGAGCACCTAGGGTTTGGGATTCGGGTGACACGCATGGCCGCAGCTGGTTGATGGTGAATTCTGGACGGTTGGCAGGAAAACCCTCTTCTTGTGCATGTTGCGGTCCATGTCTCCTGGCGTTGTAAGATTCCCATAGACGGTGTGCTGTCTTCCTCCGGCGAGGGTGCTGAGTGCTCTGGGTCCGAGCTGCAACTCGTCGCCGGGACACTGAGGTCATCGTTGAAGGTGCCCTTCTCCTGAGCACCGGCACATGCATAGCCAGCAAACGAAACTGTAACTTCGCTGCGTGTGTCTGCACATGCCGGCCCGCAATATGTCTACATGCCTGTGTACGCCTGAATGCATCTCTCTCTCTGTCTCTCTTCCCCGGGGCGTGAGGGGCGTGCGAGACCCCTCGGCATTAGAGGCCCCCCCGATGTTTATGGGGCTTTAGAGGGGTGTGAAAACATTGTGAAGGTGTTTCCCCCTGGCTGTGCTAAGAGTGCATATGAGAGTATCTTTAGACGTATCCACAACATAGGTCATCCCTGCCAGGCTTTGCACCGTTCACATGTGACATCAGTACTGGCAGTTCGCAGGGGTCTGTGCTTTTGGTTGCAAATTTGTAAAACAAGACGTGATAACAGGATTGTTGCACATCCCCCGAACATGGTTCATCTCCTGTTTCTGCGGGTTATTCCCCGCGTGTTGACTCTACGCTGGACCATCTGTAGTCGGGCATTTGTTGTAAGCATCATACACCAGGCTACAGAATGAGTGAATCACAATCCCCCGACTGTGCATGGCCCCAATCTTCTTCACTATCTTGCTGGCTACGACT